GAAGTCTGTTCTTTTGGGGAAAAAAAACCAAAAAAACAGGCTGAATCTGTGGTTGTAACTATCCTGAAGTTGTGTCTAGTTTCACCTAGTAACGGCTGTATGTACAGTATTCTGCTCTGGTTTGAAGCTGATCCCATATTAGGAAGTGCAATCAACATATGGTCTTCTTCACAGAACGAACTTGAAAAGCATATTTATAATGTGGAACTTATTCCAAGGAAGGAGCATTGTGCTTGCCTGGTTGCAAGAAATGTTTATGCTTCAGCAATTTGTTTGCAGAGTGTTTACTTTTTTGAATAATGGTGAGGAAATAGGATGAAAGTATATGCGGAGGAATAAGCTTCCTGGATCCATCTCAAAGCCAATTTAGGGTTTGGTCCTCCTGTGGCTGGTCAGACCAAACAACATATTGTAACTGTTAGCAAAAATTACAGCAAACTGTAATTACAGCAAAGTCACTACTGTTTGGTGGTCTGTTTTTTTCCTACTATAAATATATTTTTGGAGTTCCGTCAACTGATCTACAGGGAATGTTTTCCCTGGATAAAAATAATGCTTGCCCAGTTCTGCTATTGGATTGGGTTCCTTGTCCCGGACCTTATGTTTACAGATAGTCCTCAACTTCCAAGTTGAGGAGTACTTGTATTCTGGATCTTGTAATGTTTTGGTAAAGAAGTGGTTTCCCTGGATGGAACTGTCTTCCTGAAAAGCTGCCTTATCAGCTGAAATTTGCTGTTTGCTCCCGTGAGCTGAAGCACGTTCCCAAACTGGTCTGTTTTCCTGCTGATAGGAGAGTCCGTTTTATGACTCAAATGTAGCCGGAGTTTCCTCATTTTAAGCGCCTCGGAAAAATGGTTATTACAGGGAAGTGGAGAGTTGTCCTTCTATGGCATATGAATCACCGCAGGTGCAGAGGTTGGGACAGTTCAGCACATATGAAAAATGCAATATGGGATGTGATTATTATTATTGTTATTTACATTAAATTTATATGTTGTCCATCTGCCTGGTTATATTTTCATATATTTAATTTTTGTCACTTCTAGAAGTTCTAGTCTTATCTGGACGTCACCTATTTCTACAGATTCCTCTCCTTCTCCTCCTCTCTTTCTCTTTCTCTTTTTCTCTCTCTCTTTCTCTTTCTCTCTTTCTCTCCCTCTCCCTATCCTCTTCTCTCCCTCCCTTTCTCTCCCTTCTTCCCTCCCTCTCCCTCCTCTCTCTCCCACTCTTTCTCCCTTTCTCTCCCTTTCCTTCCCTCTCTCCCTCTCCTTCTCTCTCCCCCTTCCTTTCTCTCTCTCCCTCTCCCTATTCTTCTCTCCCCCTCTCCCTCCCTCTCGTTCCCTCCCTCTCCTTCCTTCTCCCACTCTTTCCCTCCCTCTTTCCCTCCCTCTTCCTCTCTCCATGGGAGAGTGAGATCTTCCAGGAGATAATGTGTGAACGCTTTCCTGGAGGAACAATGCTGGGACTGTGAGGTGTGACCTGTGCTATTCCTGAGTTTTGTTTTGTGTTACTAATTTACTTCCCAGCGGAAGCTCTTTGCGGCCCACTTCATTTCCTGTTTATAGAAAGAGTTTTGGCCTGTTGTGAAATGTGAGGCCCCCTTGTTGCTCTGTAGCTGATTCCTACTAGAACTGGAGTAAGACTAATGTCACTTGCATGCATTCTTCTTTTCTCAGCTAGACAAGAAGGAGCAGTGAAAAAAGAACACTTTTCCTAAACCCAGGTGTGACATAGATGCTTTGGGCCATGAGTGCGCTTGCAATTAGAGACATCTTGGTTTATTAACCGCAGGAAGAGTTATCCGTTCTTTAGTGGCTAAATTTACATAGAAGTCAGAGAAACTTTTCCGGGGAGGGAGGGAAAAAAGTAATCTTGGAATTTCTTGTCCTGTCCTGAAACGGAGTAAGGATGAATTACAGGTTGTCCTCAACGTACGGCCCCAATTGAGCCCAAGATTTATGTGGTTAAGCGAGACATTTGTTAAGTGAGTTTTGCCCCATTTAACAACCTTTCTTGCCACCATTGTTAAGGGAATCACTGCAGTTGTTAAGTGAGTAACACGGTTGTTAAGTGAATCCGGCTTCCCCGTCAACTTTGCTTGTCGGAAGGTCCGCAAAAGGGGATCATGTGATCCCGAGACACCGAAACTGTCGTAAGTACATGCCAGTTGCCAAGCGTCTGAATTTTGATCATGTGATCCTGGGACTGCTGCAACGGTCGTAAGCGTGAAAAACGATCGTAAGTCACTTTTCTTAGTGCCGTTGTAACTTTGAACGGTCACTAAATGAATTGTTGTAAGTCGAGGACTGCCTGTACAGTGGTTTCCCCTTGGGGGAACAGAAGAAAGAGAGGAATGTTGCTCTTCCTGAGCGCGATAGCCAATTTCTTTCCGATGCTCGAATCCTGGCTGTGATAGTTCAGGTAGGAGTACTGCAAGCAGACTTAATTTTAAATCTAGGAACCGTGCAGGGTTCAAACGGTCTTAAAATGCTGCTTGGGAAATGCCTCCCTGCCTGCAAAAGGAGCTGCTTTAGCTTCTTTGAGAGTGTAGAAGAAAACAGTTCTGGGTGTGCTAAAAGTAGGTTTCATGCCACACCTAAACAAACAGGCTGAGGGTTCGTGAGATTGTTTTATTCTTGGTGCAAATAAGCGAAGTGTGAAAGAGTTCAGGTGCTTTTACGGCTTCCCACGTGGGGAAACACCTTGGCGTTTGGGCTAGAATTCAATGTCAAATCATTCCCCCCCCCTTCCTTCTCCCTAATTTCACTTGGTTCACTTGGATTTTTTGAAGAGCTTCTCATCCCTCTTGTACGGAAGGGGTCTGTCACCTTCCTTTGTGGGTCGAAACAAAACCTCTGCACTTTGTCTGCAGATTTTCCCCGAAGCACCCTCTCTTTTTCATATCCCCACCCAAGCAGTCTTTTTTGGCATTGGAAAAGCCGTGCTCGGAAAATAAATACGCCAGGGGGGAAATGGCATCTTCAATCCAGTTATATGCCCTTCGTTCAGAAGAAGATGTTGCTCATTTTGTCGAGCTTGTCGAGAGCTTGTGTTGTGTCCCTTCGCAGGCTGCTGGGAAGCCCTTCCCTGGACGCACCTTTCACCGGACACTCGCTGCATTATAGGATAATAAAGTGCCACTTGATAAGGCAGCCACTCCAGAGTGCTAAGTGGAGGCTGCTTGACCATCTCATCGCTTGACGCTGTCCCTGCGAGGCAAAACCGCCTCCAGTTTGGACATTTCTCTGGCACTGTTTGGGCCAGCCTGACTTCCTTGTAAACCACTCCGGCTTGTCTTCTCCTGATAAGGGCCAGCCAGAAATCTGGATTTTGTCCTAGAGCAGAAGCTTGATGGGGTGGGTCAGCCACTGTCCCTTCGCCTCCAGACACAAGTGGTAGCTTTCAGCAGAGATCCGTTGCTGGAGGAGAAATTAACAGATTGGACAATCTGTCCAGAATGGTATAGGGTCTCCTTCTTGGGCAGGGGGTTGGACTAGGAAGACCTCCAAGGTCCCTCCCAACTTAGATAGATAGATAGATAGATAGATAGATAGATAGATAGATAGATAGATGATAGATAGATAGATAGATAGATAGATAGATAGATAGATAGATAGATAGATAGATAGATAGGAAAGAAAGAAAGAAAGAAAGAAAGAAAGAAAGAAAGAAAGAAAGAAAGAAAGAAAGAAAGAATACTTTTATTGGCCACTATGATTAGGCACAAGGAATTTGTCTCCGGTACATAACCACTCAGTGTACATGCAACACAGCAAAGTTATAATAATAATAGCAAAATAATAATAATGATACCAATAATAAAAAGTAGTGGAACAGATGAGATCTGTTAATTAATTTAACAGATTAAAATCGGTTACAGCAGAGCTGGGCAACTATGGCCCCTTCACAATCCGTCGACTTCAACTCCCCAAATTCCCATCTCATGAATTCTGGGAGTTGAAGTCCACAGGTCGTAAAGGGTCCATAGTTGTCCATCCCTGCATTAAAGATTTTTGCTTACGGTCTGGGCAAAGATGGCGAAGGAAGCAGCAAAAGCCTCTCTCCGTTAATTGCCACCATATTGGCCTCTTGGTCAACCGAGAAACACTTTGCAGGGGTTTTTCTGCCGTGTCTCTCAGTGTGTGAGAGGTGAGCTGCTTCTGTTCCAGACCGTTTGAACCAGATCCTCACTTGCCTTTGATGTATTTATAGGCCCTTGGGTTGTTTAGAGAATATGATGCAACCCTCGTTGACAGAAGCGGGTTTCAGGTTTCTTCACCTGTTGTATGTCAGAAACCGCTCCATCTTGAGGTTGGGGGCCTTGTCCAGCTCCGTTTCCTCCAGTTGGAGAGGTCCCCCCCATGAAATATTGGACTCGTGATTGTTTGGAAGAGCTGCACACAAACCCTCTTGAAATGCGGAATCGACCCAGAATTGCCACCTATCCTGAATGTTGGCACAGAGGTGGACATTTATAAGGTCTCCAAAGGGCTTGACGATTCGTCTCTTGCTGTTAAATCTTGTCCAGGATATGGTTCAGCTCCAGCCAACTCAGTTTCCCAGGAACTCAGTTGTCATAAAGTTTGTGGGAACATTTGTGAGGCCCATCTGCAGCTCCTTCTCCATCCTCCTCTTCCATGCTGGCCCTCAGTCACCCTCCAATCTGATTTCATTTGTTCAGAAAGACATAGAGGGGGGTTGGACTAGAAGACCTCCAAGGTCCCTTTCACCATTTATTGAACGAACGTTTGCTTGAAGAAAGGTTGTTAGTCTTGACTTAAGGAGAGCGGAATTAACACGTCTGCTTCCCTGTAAGAGAAATTTGATTTCTCTAACCTATACCACATATGCATCACACACATTATCCTTAGGAGGAAACTGTGAATAGGAGCCAAAAATATATTGTTTATTTTGGGTATGGAGACCATGCACTGCTTTCGGTTTTGGCCTTGACCCTGGGAAAGATTTCTAGCAACTGCTGTTTACGGTCCAGAGGGAAAATGAAGGAGCTGCAGCGTTTGAAGTAAAAACTGGCGCCTGCATGCATGCGGTTTCTTTATTATTGCTTATTGCTTTCCAAAGCCTGGCGAGGGCTGAGGCACCCCTGGCTGGCATCAAGGCCTTTGGCTATTCCGCCTGGAAAGCTTCAAAGGAGATTTTCCCGAGTGATGGAACAGAAGGAGAGGCAGCTGTCACGCCTGCCCTGTCTAGACTTAAGTCCGTCACGGCTGTGGGCCCTTACAGGATTATTTCAGGAATAATGTCATCAAAGAGAGGAGCAGGCAGGCAATGGATGGAGCAGAACCCAGAACAGAGCAGTGGGGTGGGGTTAGCCAGCATCGGTTGGGGAAGCTGGTCAACTCAGAGACAGCCAAAGAAATCAGTAGCGTTGAATTAAAAGTGGAAATTGAAGAGGTCTGTTGGGTAGGGGGAGAAGGGACGTTGCAGTGTTTCCCAAACATGCAGATTCCCATCTTGTGGAACTTTAGCTCGGAATTCCTTTGGCCATTTTACCTGGAGAAATTTGGGGGTTGCTTTTCCAGCCTACCTGGCGGATGAAAGCTTGGAAAGAGAAGTACCTTCCTGATTTTTCAGGATCTGGAACAGTGTTTCTCGCCCTCGGCAACTTGAAGAGGGGTGGACTTCAGCTCCCAGAATTCTCTAGCCAACATGGGTAGATTTCTAGCCAGCTTGCTGGCTGGGGAATTCTGGGAGTGGAAGTCCACCCCTCTTCAGGTGAGAAACACTACCAGTTTGGCTCAAACCAATCCTTCTGAAAATAATTGCTGTCTACTTTTAAACAACTCGGTAGCACAGTTCTTTTTTCTTGGTGGAAGCTGCAGGTTCTCTTCGTTTCCAAACCATAAACACATTTTTTTCCCTCCCTTCTTAGAACAGGCTCAGCTTTTAGAATACCTTCCCGGCAACTGGTTCCCGTTGAAGAAAATGTGACAAATTCCAAAAGTTAACCATTTTGGGGTGCTCCAAAACTGGGAACTGGCATGAAAAAGAAAAACCCCTTGCGATTCCTTCCAAAGGTTTAGGAAAGGCAGGGCAGACTCCAGAGCTGGTGATTTGTCTTTGTCTTCATACAAATCTGCTCTGCTTTGTTACAGTGGGACCTTGGTTTCCCCCAAGTGGAAGAACTTCAAAGGGTTGAAGTTATTGTGTCGAGACAAAATCCGACTCAACAATGCCATCTGGAGGGCTTGGTACATTCAGTGTGAGTAACACACAAACATTGTCCCCAAAGAGCTCTTAAAAAGAGAAATTCACCTCTCAGTTAGGACCAGAAAGAGTCCGGTTATTTCAAAACAGCTATAATTTGCTTCTTCACAAGATCTCTCCTGCAAGAGAAGGGAATTTTTAAATGTGTTTTTTTGCAAACAGAAAAGGGGAGGTGTGGCAAAATATCGCCCCTTAATATTCCCTAAAGGAACTGGATTTTAACCTATTGTCAGAATCCCGTGAAGGATTCGTAGGAAAGCAAGACGGTCTCCCGCAGTTGATCAGGAGCAAGGCATGATCTGTTCTTGCTTGGATTCCAAGAGGGTTTTTGGCCGGCCTCTCTTTCTGGCCCACCACCTTCCCTGGGCATAATGTTTGGGCCTGTATTTATTTATTTTTTTTGTGGAAGTTTTATTCTTGTTCTAACATCGTTTAAAAAAAGCACAATGACTAAGAGAGGCATGCACCATTAAATAATCTAAAAGAGAACGTCTGAATTTGGAAACATCAAACATGCACATCAGGAACCCATCTGGCAAAGCCTCTCGCTCTCTTTCAGATCTAGAGAAGAGGAAGAACCCCGTGTGCAATTTTGTGACCCCCCTGGATGGTTCTGTGGATGTTCCTGAGGTAGACCAGGTGGGTGCATTGAAGCCACTTGTCCCAGCTCCCCCTTCTTGTAGATCAGCTTCCTGGCCTTTAGCTGATTCCTTCCTGAGAGTGTGCTATTTGGGACTTCCTGGAGGGGTTTGTGGGGAGACATCCATGGGCAGTAATAGTGACCTTGGATTTCCAACTTACGCTGGTAAAGGGTTGGGTTGGGTTGGGTTGAGTTGGGTTGGGTTGGGTTGGGTTGAGTTGGGTTGGGTTGGGTTGAGTTGGGTTGAGTTGAGTTGAGTTGGCTTGTCTGAAATTCCTTTGATCTCTCCTGTTCCTACCACGTTTCTTTTCCTTTTAGGGTAGTAGTCGAACGAACGAGAAATATTGGAGGCGGCGGATTGACATAGTCATCCGAGAATATCACAAGTGGCGAACTTACTTCAAGAAAAGAGTATGTCTTTTTTTTTTCTTAAATGGCTGATATTTTGGGTAAAAATAATTCCATTTTGCCAGGGAGTTGCCTCCTGAGCTTTAGCTTGTCAAGGAGCTGAACAGAGTTAGAAAACTTAACTGTGTGGGTCCAACGGCAACTGGTTTATGACAATACAACTTAACCTTCTAACATAGCGTGTTCCAACTCTCCCCATTCTGCTGGGTTTGGGACTTCAGATGGCAGAATTCCCAGTTAGAGGCCCCAATAACTGAGATGATTCTCTTGCCAAGCAAACAGGCCAGGCTCAAATCAGGCAGCTTAGTCAAACAGCAGAGATAATGAGATAATATTTGGGGAATATTTGGGGGTGTCTTTAAGGCATAATAATGGCTGGTCTTCTTTTGTATCTTGTCTGCATAACTTTGGGGTATCGGCTGTGTTTCTAGCCCTGTAGTAAACTGATTTGGATCCCATAAAGTGCGTGACTCAAATTCTGCTCCAAGTTGGAAAATTGTCCTTCCTTCCTCCCTCCCTTCCTTCCTTCCTTCCTTCCTTCCTTCCTTCCTGTTTCAGTTTTGCTTTCAATTATTTCAATTTCCTTTCTCTTTGTTCCCCAGTTACAAAAGCACAAAGATGAAGACCTGTCCAGTTTGGTCCAGGTAAACATTATTTTGACTATCGGTTTTTTTTTTTTTCTCAGTTCAGGAGAGACCTCCTTAAGTTTTTCCAACAAATGAATGACTGAAACAAATCCAGATTATATGTTTGATTGATTGAATAGAGGATCTGCTCCACCTGAACGCTCAAGTAGAGCACTTTGGAAGTTGGAAATTTTATAGAAGAGAAGAACCAGGGTGGGGGTGGGGGGGAAGTCCACTGTAATAATAATACATAATCCAATGCTGGCTAGGGAATTCTGGGAGTTGAAGTCCACAAGTCTTAAAATGGCCAAGGTTGGACACCCCTGTCTTAAAGGATTAACATCAATTTCAGAGCTATACTCATTTTCTCCTCTGAAGAATCCTGCAGGATCCCACGTTTCTCTGCTTCACCTTTTCCTGTCCTTCTCCACCCCCCCACCCCACCCCCAGGATGATGGCTTCTTCAGGAAAGACAGCCCCATGGAACTGGAAGAGTTCTTCACCACGGACGATTACATGTCGGGATCTTCAGACACCCTGTTCTCTACGCTGTCCAGTCACCAGCTCCTCACCTGGCCGAATCCGAAGGAGAGAGGTAGGGCTTTGCGTTCCCCTCCATCAGGCCTCGCGGCTGCTAATTCCCCGTCTAATTGCCCCCACCCCAACCCACAAAACTAGCCCCCAAATATCTCCCAAGTCTGCTCCCCCTTGTAGGCAGTCCTCAACTTACAACAGTTCGTTTAGTGACCGTTTGAAGGGACAACTGCACTTTTAAAAAAAGGACTTAGGACTGTTTCTATGCTTAGGACGGTCGCAGCCTCCCCGCGGTCACACGATCGAAATTCAGACACTTGTCAGCTGACTCACATTTATGACGGTTGCAGCGTCCCGGGGTTCACGTGATCCCCTTTTGCGACCTTTGGAGAAGCTGAGTCAGTGGGGGGAAGCCAGATCACTTAACAACCACGTCGCTAAGTGAACAGCCGCAGCAAGAAAGGTTGTAAAACGGGGCAAAATTCGCAACAAACGTCTCGGTTAGCCACATAAATTTGGGGCTGAATTATGGCCGTAAGTCAAGGACTTCCTGTGGCTGCCCCTGTTAGGATCGGGTGGTATCCGAAGCTCCCACAGTGCATCCTTCCTACGAACAGCCGGAGGGCCCCGAACAGCCGGGCTGCCCCTCGGGGGATGTCAGGCACCTTCACTCCCAAAACCTCAGCAGAGATGGGGACCGGTTCCTAATAGTTGGGATCTGTTGGGATCTGAAGTTGGAATCCTCCTCCCATTCTCTCCACAACTTCCAAACTGAGTTCATTGTGGAAGGATGCCTCTTGTTTTGTCCCTCCTTACGGCTCACCTCTTTCTTCGCCTTCCTTCACTTCTGCGGGAGCTCTTGCTCTCTAGAAGCCCGTGTGACAGATGCTCTGGTTTTTCACCTCTTTCCAGCACACATGGGCAACGCTGACATGATCCAGCCGGGACTCTACCCTCTGCAGCCCAACTGGATGGAGACTTTGGAATTTTTCCCAGGTAAGCATGACTGGTTCCAAAGTGCCAATCTCAGCCAGCAGCGGCAACCCTTAGACGGGAAGGATCCCCGTGGAATTGGAAGGGGCCGAAATGTTGTCTCCAGCTGTAGGGATATGTCTGTGAAGTCACAAATAATGACGGGCTGGTGGGTGTTCTCTGAGCTTGGTGGTTTCCTGGCAGACGTTTCATGACCCAACTAGGTAACGTCATCAGTGCTAGAAGGGAGGGGGGTTGGTAGAGAGGAGGAGGAGGATTGTGGGGTCCTTGGTGTTCTCTCACCTCGGTGGTTTTCTTGCAGACATTTACCCAAGTAGGCAACGTAGTTAGATAACGAAACAGAGCTGCCTTGTTCTAAAAGAGCTGAGGAAATATAACGAGGATCTGCTTCCTTTCCTTCTGTCTTGGCCAGATATTTTTGCCTTTCCTGCCAGCCTGACACCCAGTGCCTCTTTGCCAGGGGCCACGGAACATTGTGCCCAGGTGAGAGAGGGAAGAGGTGAGGCTGAAGTGGGATGGTGAGGCGGTGCAAGGCATCCGAGTTGACTGGGTAGCCAATGTTTTCCCCATCGTGCTGCGTGAATTTTGAAGCCCGGCTTTAAAAAATTCCATCCTTTTATTATTTGTTGCAGTATTTTTCAACCTCGGCCACATTAGGAGGGCTGGACTTCAACTCCCAGAATTCCCCAGCCGGCACAGCTGAAGTCCACCTCCCTTAAAGTGCTCAAGCTTGAGAAACACTGATTGGTTGCCCTTTTATTACCGGTCAAATAATAAAGATATATTATTTTTATAAGACATGTAACAGGCCTCCCTTCCCTTTTCAGACCTCCAGCCTCTCCTCGACCTCTTTACGCAGCCCGCTTCCGACGGTGAGCCTGGGGGAAGAGCTGGTGGCCCCACCGGGGCCTGACTCCATCCTCTCCCCTGACCAGTGCCTGGGCCTGAGGAGCGAGGAGCCTTGCCTGCAGACCCCCGGCTTCCCCCCAGAGCTGCCCCTGACCGGCCAGCCCCACTTCCTGCCTCGCTTCCCGACTCTGGGGCTGCCTCTCCAGGGGGAGGTCCCTTCCCAACCGCCGCAGCAGACCCTCCTCTCCTTGAACCCGGACCTGGCCTTGCCGGTGCCCCTCTTCACCCCCGCCGAGGCTCCGAAGTTCGGGCCCGGCAAGCCTTCCGTCATCACCCACACCGCCTCGGCCACCCCCACGCAGAACGTGCCGGCCACCACCTTCAGCCACGGCCCAGCGGGACTCTTGGCCACACTCCAGACGGCGGTGGTGCATCCCCACGGCCTCCTGCAGCCGCCCACGCCCTTCGTCCTCCCCCTGGCGGGCCCGGGGCTGCGGCCCAGGAAACCCCAGCAGATCGCGCCCGCCCCAGCGGAGCCCGTGCCTTTGATGCTGAACAGTGCCTTCCTCTCTCCAGGTGAGGGGCTGCCTTGGGGAGGGGCTCTGGGCAGCGTATGGGTAGTCCTTGACTTACGACCACAATTTCCATTGCTCAGTGAGACGGTTCAATGAGTTGTGCCCCGCTTTATGACCTTCCTTTGCCACGGTTGTTAAACGAATCACTGCAGTTGTTAAGTTAGTAAGGCGGTCGTTAAGTGAATATGGCTTCCCCCTGTGGACTTTGCTTGTCAGAAGGTTGCAAAAGGGGACCGTTGTAAATAGGAACCAGTGGCCAAGCCTCTGAATTTTGATCTCCTGACCCTGGGGATGCTGCAACGGCCGTAGGTGTGAAAAAGGATCCTAAGTCCCTTCGTTCAGTGCCGTTGTAGCTTCGAGCAGTCCCTAAACGAAACGTCGTAAGTCGAGGTCTGGTTTTATATTTCAGTGAAAAGAGACTGTCCCTCTTTCACTGCGGCAGCTTAGCTGCATTTAGCTGACGGGCTGTGTGTGTGTGTGTGTGTGTTGGTTGTCGTTTCTTCTCTCCCCAAGTCCGGGACTGCCAGCCGTCGAGACAGGCCTCCCCCCGCCCGTCCGAGCAGGGCCTCGGCCCTCAGTCCCCGCAGAGCAGCCGCTCCAGGAAAGGCACCCCGGAGCCGCTTTTCAAGGTGGGTTGAAATCTGGAAACCTCACACGAGTTTTCCAAGCTTTTGGATTCCAAAGATTTGGGATCCGGCCCAGAGAGAGCACCTCACCCTTCGCGGCCCATCCAGGTTAGGGACGGACGGGGGGGGGGGGAGAATCCCTGTGTCAACGCTGCAAATACTGTATATTCTTGTTAAACCAGGCAGAAGGGGAAAAGAAACCGGATGTAAATCACATCTTCCAAGTTGATTGGAAGATGTGAACCATGACCCCAAAAAAGGGTGGGAGGGAAATGTTTGGAATGCTATGCGTAACGGAAGAGAAGCAGTTCTAAGCATTCCCCCATNGTCACACGATCGAAATTCAGACACTTGTCAGCTGACTCACATTTATGACGGTTGCAGCGTCCCGGGGTTCACGTGATCCCCTTTTGCGACCTTTGGAGAAGCTGAGTCAGTGGGGGGAAGCCAGATCACTTAACAACCACGTCGCTAAGTGAACAGCCGCAGCAAGAAAGGTTGTAAAACGGGGCAAAATTCGCAACAAGCGTCTCGCTTAGCTACAGGGCTGAATTATGGCCGTAAGTCAAGGACTTCCTGTGGCTGCCCCTGTTAGGATCGGGTGGTATCCAAAGCTCCCACAGTGCATCCTTCCTACGAACAGCCGGAGGGCCCCGAACAGCCGGGCTGCCCCTCGGGAGATGGCAGGCACCTTCACTCCCAAAACCTCAGCAGAGATGGGGACCGGTTCCTAATGGTTGGGATCTGTTGGGATCTGAAGTTGGAATCCTCCTCCCATTCTCTCCACAACTTCCAAACTGAGTTCATTGTGGAAGGATGCCTCTTGTTTTGTCCCTCCTTATGGCTCACCTCTTTCTTCGCCTTCCTTCGCTTCTGCGGGAGCTCTTGACAGATGCTCTGGTTTTTCACCTCTTTCCAGCACACATGGGCAACGCTGACATGATCCAGCCGGGACTCTACCCTCTGCAGCCCAACTGGATGGAGACTTTGGAATTTTTCCCAGGTAAGCATGACTGGTTCCAAAGTGCCAATCTCAGCCAGCAGCGGCAACCCTTAGACGGAAAGGATCCCTGTGGAATTGGAAGGGGCCGAAATGTTGTCTCCAGCTGTAGGGATGTGTCTGTGAAGTCACAAATAATGACGGGGTGGTGGGTGTTCTCTGAGCTTGGTGGTTTCCTGGCAGACGTTTCATGACCCAACTAGGTAACGTCATCAGTGCTAGAAGGGAGGGGGGTTGGTAGAGAGGAGGAGGAGGATTGTGGGGTCCTTGGCGTTCTCTCACCTCGGTGGTTTTCTTGCAGACATTTACCCAACTAGGCAACGTAGTTAGATAACGAAACAGAGCTGCCTTGTTCTAAAAGAGCTGAGGAAATATAACGAGGATCTGCTTCCTTTCCTTCTGTCTTGGCCAGATATTTTTGCCTTTCCTGCCAGCCTGACACCCAGTGCCTCTTTGCCAGGGGCCACGGAACATTGTGCCCAGGTGAGAGAGGGAAGAGGTGAGGCTGAAGTGGGACGGTGAGGCGGTGCAGGGCATCCGAGTTGACTGGGTAGCCAATGTTTTCCCCATCGTGCTGCGTGAATTTTCAAGCCCGGCTTTAAAAAATTCCATCCTTTTATTATTTGTTGCAGTATTTTTCAACCTCGGCCACTTTAGGAGGGCTGGACTTCAACTCCCAGAATTCCCCAGCCGGCACAGCTGAAGTCCACCTCCCTTAAAGTAGTGCTCAAGCTTGAGAAACACTGATTGGTTGCCCTTTTATTACCGGTCAAATAATAAAGATATATTATTTTTATAAGAGATGTAACAGGCCTCCCTTCCCTTTTCAGACCTCCAGCCTCTCCGCGACCTCTTTACGCAGCCCGCTTCCGACGGTGAGCCTGGGGGAAGAGCTGGTGGCCCCTCCGGAGCCTGACTCCATTCTCTCCCCTGACCAGTGCCTGGGCCTGAGGAGCGAGGAGCCTTGCCTGCAGACCCCTGGCTTCCCCCCAGAGCTGCCCCTGACCGGCCAGCCCCACTTCCTGCCTCGCTTCCCGACTCTGGGGCTGCCTCTCCAGGGGGAGGTCCCTTCCCAACCGCCGCAGCAGACCCTCCTCTCCTTGAACCCGGACCTGGCCTTGCCGGTGCCCCTCTTCACCCCCGCCGAGGCTCCGAAGTTCGGGCCCGGCAAGCCTTCCGTCATCACCCACACCGCCTCGGCCACCCCCACGCAGAACGTGCCGGCCACCACCTTCAGCCACGGCCCGGCGGGACTCTTGGCCACACTCCAGACGGCGGTGGTGCACCCCCACGGCCTCCTGCAGCCGCCGACGCCCTTCGTCCTCCCCCTGGCGGGCCCGGGGCTGCGGCCCAGGAAACCCCAGCAGATCGCGCCCGCCCCAGCGGAGCCCGTGCCTTTGATGCTGAACAGTGCCTTCCTCTCCCCAGGTGAGGGGCTGCCTTGGGGAGGGGCTCTGGGCAGCGTATGGGTAGTCCTTGACTTACGACCACAATTTCCATTGCTCAGTGAGACGGTTCAATGAGTTGTGCCCTGCTTTATGACCTTCCTTTGCCACGGTTGTTAAATGAATCACTGCAGTTGTTAAGTTAGTAAGGCGGTCGTTAAGCGAATATGGCTTCCCCCGTGGACTTTGCTTGTCAGAAGGTCGCAAAAGGGGACCGTCGTAAATAGGAACCGGTGGCCACGCCTCTGAATTTTGATCTCCTGACCCTGGGGACGCTGCAACGGCCGTAGGTGTGAAAAAGGATCCTAAGTCCCTTCGTTCAGTGCCGTTGTAGCTTCGAGCAGTCCCTAAACGAAACGTCGTAAGTCGAGGTCTGGTTTTATATTTCAGTGAAAAGAGACTGTCCCTCTTTCACTGTGGCAGCTTAGCTGCATTTAGCTGACGGGCTGTGTGTGTGTGTGTGTCGTTTCTTCTCTCCCCAAGTCCGGGACTGCCAGCCGTCGAGACAGGCCTCCCCCCACCCGTCCGAGCAGGGCCTCGGCCCTCAGTCCCCGCAGAGCAGCCGCTCCAGGAAAGGCACCCCGGAGCCGCTTTTCAAGGTGGGTTGAAATCTGGAAACCTCACACGAGTTTTCCAAGCTTTCGGATTCCAAAGATTTGGGATCCGGCCCAGAGAGAGCACCTCACCCTTCGCGGCCCATCCAGGTTAGGGACGGACGGGGAGGGGGGAGAATCCCTGTGTCAACGCTGCAAATACTGTATATTCTTGTTAAACCAGGCAGAAGGGGAAAAGAAACCGGATGTAAATCACATCTTCCAAGTTGATTGGAAGATGTGAACCATGACCCCAAAAAAGGGTGGGAGGGAAATGTTTGGAATGCTATGCGTAACGGAAGAGAAGCAGTTCTAAGCATTCCCCCATGCTGTGCTGGCATATCTGTAACATTAATAAATGCTTTTAGGAGAAAACATGCCTGAAAGTCCTTTTAAGTGTTTCGTTACTCAGACACATGACACCCTGAGCTTCAGGTAACACGGTTAAAGTAATGGGGTGTGTGTGTGTGTGATTGTTTTGTTTTGATGGGCACAGAGTCACAGAATGAAGCATATCTCAGCGGAGCAGAAACGGAGATTCAGTATCAAGATTGGCTTTGGCAACCTCAACAGCCTGGTCTCCCCAAACTCTAAATCGGTAAGTGGTTTTCAGAGAGGGGGATCCCCAAAAAGTTTTCCTCCTCCACCTCCACCTCCTCCACCTCCACCTCCACCTCCTCCTTCATGCCAGATTTCAGGCCCAGGGTGGTGTCGCATAGCTCCCCCCTATCTGGACCCTCTTTTTGCCCCCCCCGCAGATCAGCCACGCCCTCACCCTCCAGAAGACCGTCGAGTACATTGCCAAGCTGCAGCAGGAGCGCTTGCAAATGCAGGGGGAAGCCCGGCGCCTTCGGGAAGAGACGGTCGAGCTGAACGCGGCCATCATGTGAGGACTCAGACCCAGAGTAGCTACACAGACGTTTTCTCTCTCCTTTGTGTCTTGGCTTAATTGGTTTAAACGGCCACCCATCTCATAAAAATGCTGAAAAGAAAGGCTAAAAAAATTATTAACCTGGCCCCAGGACACTGCGGCCGTCGTAAGTACATGCTGGTTGCCAAGCACATCCAGATTTTGATCAGGGGACCGTGGGGGTCCTTCAGTGGTCGTAAGTGGGAGGACTGGCTGTAAAGTCACTTTGTTCAGTGGCTTTATAGCTTTGAACAGTCACCAACCAAAACGTTTGTAAGTCAAGGACTACTTGTAAACAACTCCCTCCTTCCCTCTTTTTTTTTCTTTTTTTTTCTTCTTCTTCTTCTTCTTCTTCTTCTTCTTCTTCTTCTTCTTCTTCTTCTTCTTCTTCTTCTTCTTCTTCTTCTTCTTCTTCTTCTTCTTCTTCTTCTTCTTCTTCTTCCTTTTTCTTTTTCTTTTTCTTTTTCTTTCTTCTTCTTTCTTTTTCTTTTTCCTTCTCCAGTTCCTGCCAGCAACAGTTGCCTGCCACCGGGGTGCCCATCACAAGGCAGCGGTTTGACCAGATGAGGAACATGTTTGAAGACTACATCCAAAACCGGAGCCAGCAAAACTTGAAATTCTGGATTGTATCCTGCTTTGGTGTGCGCGAAACTAGGGAAGGCCCAAAGGTCGAATATGGAAAGAAGAGAATTAGGAAGTGATTTTAGCAAGGCAGGAGGGCCCATTGGGGACTACACAGGAGAAGTGGGAAGGGGAGAGGACTGGTCCTTCGGAGGTACACTGCCCCTGAACCTGGAATCTCTGCTAGGTTGCTGGGGCATCCCTCCTTCCCTCAGCTACCTTCCCTGATGTCATTTTTAAACCATGTTTAAAGCTGGCTGGATCCTTGCTGCGTTTTCAAGTCGTGAATTTTACAGGTTTTATTCCAAATGTCCTGAAGATCTTTTTAGAGTGGTTAAAAAAAAGGGGGATTCAGGAGCACTTCAAGAAGGAAGGAAGGAAGGAAGGAAGGAAGGAAGGAAAGAAGGAAGAAGGAAGGAAGGAGGAAGGAAGGAAGGAAGGAAGGAAAGAAGGAAGAAGGAAGGAAGGAGGGAGGAAGGGAGGAAGGAAGGAAGGAAGGAGGAAGGAAGGAGGGAGGAAGGAAGGAGGAAGGAAGGAAGGAAGGAAGGAAGGAAGGAATAATGGAATGAGGATGGATGGAACTGGAAAAAGCAGTAGTTTCCGTAGAACCCCCTGCTTGTCTTCGTGACTGGCAGCGCTCTCCAACTTCTCATACTTCTGGAGAAAGACCCGGGGAGCTTCATAAACCAACAGAGCTGGTTGGACCTCTGCCTCGATTTAACCTGCTACATTTCCCCAGAGGTGCCCTTGCCTTCCAGCCCCCTCCCCTCCCCTCCCCCGAGTGTCCCTTAGTGTCCAGAAATCTCCAGCTGTGTGTTTGCACCTTAACCCCCCCCCCCTTCTGCAGTTCAGCGTCCTCATCCAGCCTCTGTTTGAAACCTTCAACGAGATGGTGTCCACCACCAGCCTGCAGGAGCTGAACCGGACGGCCTTGATGTGGCTGGACAAGCACTGCTCGCTCCCCGTCCTGAGGCCCAGTAAGTTGAGCTGCTCCCGAGATCCTGTAAAATCTCTGTTTGGGATGCCGCCGTCTTAATTAACCGGGCTGGATGGTTTCTTCTGCACCCTCCTTTCTCCTAGTGGTCCTGAACAGTCTCCGGCACTTAAGCACCACCACCTCCATCCTCTCCGACCCGTCCCTCTTGCAGGAGCAAGCCAGCCAGGCCTTGGGCAAACTCCAGAAAACACCTGGGGAAACGTAACAGAAGAAGACACGCTCAACTCACGGCGGGCGTCCCGGACTCAACAGAGACTTGATCAGCTTCCCCAGTCTGGGACTTCCTCCAGAGGTGTAGCAACAAGCTCCCCTTGTCTTTCTCAGCCCACCTGCTAGCCGAGAATCCAAGGCTTGTATTTCCCCACAGTGTGGAGGGCGTCCAGCTGTAGAAGGAGGCCTCCGAAGCTTCCTTGTGTTGACTCACCATCAGGGACAAGAGGCATCATCCAACCGAGCGTTACGCTGGGGAGAGCAGAGAGTTGAGGTTCTCCAACGCTTTGGTCCAATGTGAAAATGCAACTCAGGGAAACTGTTTCCAGCAATAGACGCCCCCTTCAATGCAACCTCTCTCAAATATATGCAGTAGGAATCAGCTTTTTCTCCAACCTGACCTCAGTCGCAAGTGGTGCAGTGGTTAGAATGCAGCGTTGCAGGCCAAAGCTCTTCCCGCAGCCTGGAGCTCGATCCTGACGGGGTTCGAAGTTGACTCAGCCTCCCGTCCTTCCGAGGTTGGCAAAATGAGGACCCGGAAGGTTGGGATTTGCTCTACATTGTAAATTTCTCAGAGTGCTCGTAAAGCACTATGAGGTAGTATGTAAGCCTAAATGCTGCTGTTATTGCTATTGGAGAGAAAGGGTAGCACGAGACTAGATCTTCACCAGCTTGGCAGATCAGAGATGGGATCTCTGAAGATCTCTTGCCCTCGCCCGTTCGGACAGCCCTCATCTGAAGCTGCCAGGAGTTGTGCAGAACAAGCCAAAAAGCACATTATTATCTCCCCTATTTCAACAGTAATACCCAGAATAGCTATGAATTTTTTTCCTCCATAACAGACAGTGATGGTTCATCAGGACCTTGGCAGCCCAAGAGACTTTTAGCTCTTTGATTCAACTCTTTGACTCTTGACTCTTGGCTCTTTCTTTCAACCTTCCAGGCCATTTTCTAGTACAACCGGGGGTCTTGGGGGTCCCATCTGCCTTAGAAGAGCCCACTTGTCTCAAGCCCCCCTCGGCAGGCTGTCTAGTGGAGCCTGTTTCCACAGATGTACTTTTGCACATAACAGTGCAATTTCCCCCCTTCTTTGGGGAATAATAATAATAGTTTGAAAGTGCAGGAGAAGAACAAAAAAGCAGACAGTCAGCTTAAGAACATAAGACAAACGGGTTGAATTCTAGTCGGCGTGTCTCATCCAGGGCCGCCTTCCTACGGTAGCCATCCCGGTGTCTCTTGGAGGCTTACCTGCAGTGGAAATGTCCTCTCTTCCATGTTTTCTGTCTCACTTCTTTGTGCGTGTGTCATTCTCACAAATCTCAGAAAGTGACCTTCAAAGAAGAGGTGCCTTCTAGGGTTAACCGGTTTTGAATTTTGCACCAGGATTGCCCATCAGAAGTTCTTGAGTTTCCAGTATTGGCCTCCAGCGTGGAAGATGTCCTACTTCGCCACTCCACGCAATACGCCGTACCAGCCTTGAGTGTGAACCACAGTGGCTTTCCATCCACAGAGTAGGACATGGCTGGTAAAGAAATCTTGATAGCAGTGAGGGTTGCCGTCGACCCAGACTTCTGAACTTTATGGAGACAGATTATCTCATGGGTAAGATAAGCTGGCTTTGTATGATAGATAGTAGGCTCTCTAGTCCTTCAGACCACAACTGTTGGAAAGGGGTGTCTGGGTTGAGATTGTGATTTAAGCTCTAAAATGGCTCTCAGGCAAACCGACATCCACCCCATCTCTAGGCACCAATAGAGAGCCATGTTCTACCTTAGAACTGGTTCATCTGGGCAACTTTTATGCTCTAGAACAGTCTTCCTTGAACTTTTAAGATGCATGGACTTCAACTCCCAGAATCCCCAGGCTTGGGGATTTCTGGGAGTTGAAGTCCATCTCTGCTGTTTGGGTGCTCTCCACCCAGAAAGCAGGATCTGGGTATGCGATGCATTGGCTCAGCTTCCCCTCTTTGTTCTTCTACTGCAAACTCCACAATCACTTTGATCACCTGGATGGAGCACGGGTGATAAGCTGGCGTGCTTTTGGAACAGTTATTGCTAATGCAGTTTCAATATTGTTCAGTGGGGTTGGGGCTGATTTTAATCTGCAACAGACAGGCAAAAAAAGATGCATGCCTTTTTAGCAATGCAATCGGGATTTTTAGCCTCGGGGGAGATATTTTACCTGTATAATGATCTGAAATGATCGGGCAATTTGTACTCTCATTTGCAAGCAAAAAAGATGAAGTTTGTACGTGTTTTTTTTCTTCTTCCTTGTTTTATTAATAGCCTTTTTGGAAGGCTGCAGAATTAAGCCGCTGCCTTTGTTATCTAGATTTCTGATGCATGAAACTCCCAATTCTGTGGCAATTTGCTTGCGTTTCGATTGTCCGATAACATCACTGCATTTTTTTTTATGAGACAACAGAAATAAAATGCTATTTTTGAGGAGCTTTAAACATGTAACTTTTTTCCGTCCGATCACTTGCCTTAGAATTCGAGATGATCGGATCCATAAGTGTGCAACATTGGAACCGTGAGACAGAAGCATCTGGGACCATCAGCCATTTAAGCCCCCCAGGGTGGGGAGATCCGAGAGCAAAGGGGTGCCTTAGCTTTGACACCTGAGCCATTTCCCCCCCATTATTATAATTTTTTTTAAAAAAATAGCCATTTTTTCCCCTTCCACCAGGATTCCACACAAGACATTTGGGGACCTGTGAGCTCTGTTGCATTCATGTGGTAGAGAAACACATCCTGTTTAGATCAGCTCAGAGTTTCAGAGGTTGCCAAGTGACAAGAAGACAGTTCGGTGTGGTTCAGACGCTCCAAACTGGCGAGGTGTGACTTGCTGGCTGCCGAATTTCTCAGCCTTGTAAGATGTGCCCCAAAATCCACCCTGCTAGTCCTCATGGCAGATGGCTGTAGAGTCCTCTGCTTTGATTGCTAGGCTGGTTATGAAAATGGAGCTTGTCTGGAGGCCTTGAAGCTTCTCTTACTTCTCTTCAGACCTGTAAGTAGACTTGAGCCGGGTGGATAAAATCTTTTGATGAATTTTCTTTAGGAGCTGAAGCATAAGGAGGTGTAACCCCAAAGATGGCAACTGGGCTTCCGTGTTCTTCTCTGAAGACGTTTCGCTTCTCATCCAAGAAGCGTCTTGGGATGGCGGGGAATGGAAGGATTTATACACCTTGCAGACCGCTGGTCGTTTGTATGAATGAGTATAAATCCTTCCATTCCCCACCATCCCATCAGAACTGAAGAAGCTTCTTGGAGGAGAAGCGAAACCTCTTCAAAGAAAAAAAAGGATGTCCAGTTGCCTCCTGAAAAGGCCCCTTTGGGACAACCAGGACCTGAATGATGGAGAATCTCCATAGACGGAGATGTAATCCATAAAAGCGGACCTGTTGACACGATTTTTGACAGCAAGAACGGCATCGGATGCCTGTGGGCAGAACTTTGCCTCACCTTTGGTTTGCTAAAAATCAGTTGTCTGGATGTTTGCAGTTACAACACTGCTGAAAAAAGGGATTTGTGACTGGCGTTCACCCTTTGCAGCACCCCCAGGGTCACGTGATCAGAATTCAGATGCTTGGCAACTGACATGTACTTAGGACGGCTGCAGCATCCCGGGGATCATTTATCACCTTTTGCAACCTTCTGACAAGCAAAGCTTGCTTAATGACCGCGTGATTCGCTTAACAACTGCCAAGAAATGGGGCGTAAAATGGGGTACAACTCTCCGAACAAGCAGCCTTGCTTAGCCACAGAAAATTTGGGCTTCATTCTACGTCGTAATTCGAGAACTACGTGTATTTTTGTCCCTCAAACTCCGTGTCAGAATTAGTGGATTTCAAGCTTCTAGAATGATTTTCAAGAAGGTGGAATTTGAACCCAGAATCCAATTTGAAAGGGTTTGGCATCTTAATTGAGCAGAATAACTAAAAACCCTGGAAGGCAGAAATAAAATAACTGAAATGTAGTTTCCAAATCTCAAGAAGAAACCATTTAGTTTTTGTATATCTGTTTATTTATTTATTTATTCCATATTGCATTTAAGACATGACTCACTTAAAATTAATCCATGTCAATTTAAAACACTAAACTTAATCTTCAGTAGCACCTTAACAGCATTCCTTAAATTAAAATACTCTTACTCAAAAATACATTCCTTCAGTTGATGATCCAAATACTTTAAATAGATTTAAATACAATAAAATAACCAGTGGAACTGTTTCTCTAAGAAATAGTCAGTCAATGAACATTATTAACTATAATTTAATTTTTAATTTAAGTTATATAATAGATATTATATGAAGTTATATAAAATATCATAAATATAATAAATAAATTACGTTCCTTAATTTGGTAAAATTTAGTTGCAGTTTTTCTAATAATCCTTAGCTCTACACATTTCCCTTATGGTTTTCTGTTCCAGCTTTAATTTTGAACTCAGAAGCTTCTGTACGTGACCTTTATATAGTTCAAAAACGTAGTGAAGCATGTTCTGTGTTGAGGGCCATTTGCTCTCCGCGCTGTACTTCGGGCCGTTGAACGCTGGTACTTCATCTGATGCTCCTTCCGAACAGGTCTGGTTCACGTAGCGTTCCTGAAGCTCAGCGAGGCATGTGAAGGGCTCCATCACGGATTGCAGGCATTTACCTTGCTGATAGGTGTTCTTCAGCCAAATAAACAGCTCTTTGAACTCCCGGAGAATTTGACATTCTTCTGCTGATTTGGTGAAATTGTAGGATTGGGAAAACTCAAATTCCATTTTTGACCTCATTTCAGGAGACAAATATTTGTTATCGATCTACAAAAATGGAATCAAAGATCTGCGTCAGTTAAAGTTGGCTTCCCACCCAACAGTAGCCTACATTTTATTCTCCTTCTGATAAAGGTGAACCTCTAAAGAATGGTCTCTCCAGATGCTGCCCTGGGCTTTCTCTCTGTCCCCTGAACCAAATTATAAAGAAGTGAGACTTTGGAAAAAGTGCAAAGAAGAGCAACTAAGATGATGAAGGGCCTGGAGACTAAAACGTGTGAAGAACGGTTGCAGGATTTGAGTACGGCCAGTTTAGAGAAAAGAAGGACTAGGAGGGACATGATAGCAGCATTCCAGTTTTTGAGTGGCTGCCACAAAGAAGAGGGGGTCAACTTATTTTCCAAGGCAACTGAAAGGACAAGAAGCAACAGATGGAAACTAATCAAGGAGAGAAGCAACCTAGAACTAAGGAGGAATTTCCTAACTGAGGGCAATCAACCAGTGGAACAGAATTGCCTCCAGAAGTTGTGGGTGCTCCATCACTGGAGGCTTTTGAGAAGAGACTGGACAGCCACCCATCTGAAAGGGTACAGGGTCTCCTGCTTGAGCAAGAGATTGGACTAGAAGACCTCCAATGTTTCTTCCAGCTCTATTCTGATTCTGATTTTTAATGTCTTGAGTGCCATTCTTAAGAAATAAGGAGCTCTGGTCTCGCTTGAGAAAGAGGGATGGGAAGAGAAATATCTTGATCTGGCCTACTAAGCAGAAACGGATGTGCAAAATTTAGGGTTTAGGGCCTCCTCGTCTAATAGTCAACTGGAGTAGGGGGCATCGGTTCAGCATACTTACAGATTCATATTTTTCAAGTAACAATTCTGCTTCACAATATAGTTTCCTCAAGGTCTGATTAGCCGGGGAAGGTGTAGTTGGCATTCCCTGGGTGCCCCACAGGACAATCACCAACATGGTCATTTCTGTCAGGAAAGCAAATAAATAGATTATGAGTCCTGGGACACAGGGCCGTGAATTAAAACAGTGGCTTTCTCCCTTCGTCTTCCAGGGGGGGCAGAAATTCTGTGGATTCAGTAGGAAACACACGCCTGCCTTTCTCTCAGAAACGTTTCCTCTGAAAATGGTTCCCCCCCCGTCTCCATCACTGCAAGGCTGGGTCACCGGGGATGAAGGGATCAAGTCCAGTTAGAACTACGTCCATTCCTTATAGCCGGTGATCAGCATTACAAGATTGAATGGAGCATCCCGGCCTGTTTATCACCTGGCCTTCCCAGTTCTGAAACTCCAGATACGTTTGTCCACCTTAATTTTCACTGCAATCTTTTGCTTTAAAAAACAAAACAAAACCACAACCCAAACCAAGGCACTTGAAGGAAAGACCCACTTGGTACCCCAGACCTATGAATATTTATATTTTGGTTGATGATAAAAGTGTTTTCCAATTTCCCATGTTATCCCCTAGCATAGAAGTGTCCCATCTTGGCAACTTTAAGACTTGGGGAGTTCAACTCCCAGAATTCCCCAGCCAGGATTCCGGAAGTTGAAGTCCCCGAGTCTTAAAGTGGCCACGGTTGGACCCCCGTGCCCTAGCACCTTCCCTCAAATCATCTCAGCTTCTGCACTGATTTTGGATTGATTTTGGAAGAGGTCTAACCCTGGCATAAAAACAAAGGGGGCCTAGAGAGCCCATTAGCAGTGGGGCAGGTGTGCGCCCCTGGGCATTTTGCATTGCGAAAACCCTAACCCAAAACCCACCCGAGAACTTGAAGTGTGCCTACCTTTAAGCATGGTGAATGAAGCGCTGAGAGTTGGAAGTCGCCTTCAAAGTTTGTTTGTCTCTTCTGAGTTTGCTTCTCTGCTTTGGCTGTCGGTCGCACCGTATTTAAGCCGCTCCTGGGGAAGATGACTATCTTGTTTCCTACCCTGACGAAGCGCCCGCAAGTGATTGTGATCAGTTTCCTAAGATAATCCGTGATTGATTTCCCACATGGTGTGTCTTTGTGTCTGGGGGCAGTTGCCGTGATGCTGTCGATCTGAAAAAGTTCCTGGAAGTCCAGTTTCCACTCGTCCAATATTTCAAGATGGGTCCAGTTGTGATGGGCCTACTGCCCAAAAGGGACTTTGATGGCCCTTGGAGGGTTCTGTCCGCCATCTTGCTTGGGTTGACCCTCCCCTACAGAGACCCTCAACCTTGGATTCTGCTGACCCTACCTTAGAGAAGGGCATTTATTTGATCTGATTGATCAGATAAATAAAGGGGAAGGGTCTCTGTTAGAGCCTAATGCCCATTTCATGAAGAAGGGGTGTTGTGTAGGCTTACATTGGGAACAGGTTTTGGCCATCCCAAATTGGCTGAACTGACCTCTGGACATTGAAGGTTTATAATAGTATCAGTTCGGGCTCTAAACAGACAATTCATCTTTTCTTTTTTTTTTAAAAAAAAAGGCCCTCTCTCTCTGCTATGGAAATTACCTAAAGATATACTGATAACGTGAGAAATCAGTCAGCCTTGTTGTAATCAGCTCTGCGTATTTTTTTCTTCTTCTAGCAAAAGAGATTTTCTTCTTCCTTCCAACTCGCCCAGGAATTATACCGTGATGCTTTCATTTTATTTCCATTTGAAAAATTCCATTTTCCGAGAAGCTGGATGTGGCTGACCCTTGAACCTTCTCCTTCTCCTATTATAATAGAGGGTCAAATGTTGGTTTCTTTGTCCAAGGCCGGATGTAGCCCTTACATCGACCATGCTGGGATTGAAAAAAAATGCTCCCTACTATATAAACCTTGGATCGTGCAATTAAGCAATCAGTCGGACCTTTTGATCTAATGATGGCACCTAACTGAATTCCATTTTCCCTCTTTTTCCAAAAAAAACAACACCATCTTAGGGCTGCTGAGAGAAGATAATATTTGTAGCTCAGGGTTGAATTGGAAGGTCTTGGTGCTGGGTGGTTTTCTTGCAGACATTTCATGACCCAACAAGGTAACATCATCAGCACCTAGCAAGAAAACAGCTCAGGGAGCAACCAGCATTGCCCAGTAGAGGGTTAGATACGCTTTTTTCTTTGTGTGGGAATTACAGTTCTAGATCCAAAACAAACTTGATTATCCCAGAATAGAAACATGCTTCTCTCCCTAGCAGTCAGTGGATTTTAAAGCATCTTGTGGAGTGGAGACTGGCTGTGTTTTTAAAGGCAGCTAAAGTGTTTTTTTTTTTTAGTAGATTAATTTGCACCTCTGTGACTTCTCCCCTTTTTTCACTTTGGTTCTTTTCTTTCTTTCTTTCTTTCTTTCTTTCTTTCTTTCTTTCTTTCTTTCTTTCTTTCTTTCTTTCTTTCTTTCTTTCCTTTCTTCCTTTGTTTTCTTTCTTTATTTCTTTTTCTTTCTTTCTTCCTTTGTCTTTTTCTTTCTTTCTTTCTTTCTTTCTTTCTTTCTTTCTTTCTTTCTTTCTTTCTTTCTTTCTTTCTTTCTTTCCTTTCTTCCTTTGTTTTCTTTCTTTCTTTCTTTTTCTTTCTTTCCTTTCTTCCTTCGTCTTTCTTTCTTTCTTTCTTTCTTTCTTTCTTTCTTTCTTTCTTTCTTTCTTTTCTTTTCTTTTGTGGAAAAGCCCAAAGAATAAAGGAAATGCTTCTGGGGTTTTTTTTTATTATTATTATTACTATTATTAAAAGCACCAGTCACGTTATCTCGTGGAAAACATTTCTTTTGAACTTGGGAAATGTTAGTCACACCTATTCATCTTTCAAACGTGGATACCTGGGGAAGGGAGGGGGAGGGGAGATTAGTCTGCAGAAAGAGCAAAAGGAAGAGATAAGGTGGTTAATTTTGTCCATTACAAGGTGTGTGTATGTGTGTGGGGGGGATTTTTGCATTTCTGCCACAAAAGGAAGCAGCGAAATTCAAAGGTTCTTGAAGAGTCAAAACCGAGGCTTGGAATGAGTGAGGCTGCATTTTGAATATTCCACGATTACATTTTTACCCATTTTTAAGATCAATGTTGGATCGCAGCCTTTCTGCTTCTAATTGCCATTTAGGGATGTTTTATAAGCAGTCCTCGACTTACAAAGTTCATTTGGTGACCGTTCGAAGTTACAACAGCACTGAAAGAAGGGACTTATAACCATTTTTCACACTTAACAACCGTTGCAGCACTCCCCTGGTCACGTGATCAAAATTCAGACAATTGATTCATATTTATGACGGTCACAGCATCCCAGGATCACGTGATCCTCTTTTGAAACCTTCTGACAGGCAAGGTCAATGGGGAAGCCGGATTCAACTGTGGCAAGGGAGGTCATAAAATGGGGGCAAGACTCAACAAATTTCTCACTTAGCAACAGAAACTCGGGGCTTGATTTTGGTCATCTGTAGAGGACGACCTGTCTTGTGCTTAGATCTCTAATCATGATTTGATTTGATGTCTCTCCATGGCTTGATGGGGTTGCAGCCCATGTCCTCTTTGCCTCTCCCTGCTGTATGTGCTCATAAGATTAAAAAAAAGGACGAAAACCCTGGAGTTTTGAGGCAGAGAAATTAAGATAAACTTAATTAAGATAAATATTTAAGCTTATTATTGTTTGAACTTAATTGCTCTGCCTCCAAACCCCAAAAAATTATTTTTCAAGGCATTTGTTTTGCTCCTTCTTGCACCTAGAGAGGGAGAGCAGATTCCTGAGAAGGACATTGTGTTATATCAGTCAGATTCCTTCCGCCGCTCGAGTCGTTTCCAGAAGGGTTTGAAACGGAAAGAACACAACAAAATAATTTTATGAAAATCAAAATTAAAATAAAATCTTATCCGTTGGAAGTGCAGTGAGGAGGAGAACTGCAACTGTTGGTGTTCATCTCTAGCAACCTTTCCCGCCAGCCAGGTGCTGGGGGACGATGGACGCTGTAGTCTCTGGAAGGGGCCAACTTAGGTAACGTTGGTGCCTATTGTGGGTGTTTAAAACACAGGTTAACCACCTGCGGGTGAACACAGAGGAGACTCCGCCCCCTTGGAGAGCCGGCAGCATCTCCCTCCCCTGGCGTCGGTGGGCGCCCCTAGCAACCAGATCCCGTATCCTAGCAACGGAAGTCGCGGCCTGGTCCTGCTGCAGCCGCCATGCCATGGAAGGGCTGAGCGCCTCGGCCGCTTTCTGGGATCACCTTCGCCAGCTGTGCCTGGACCAGTTTCCTTGCGGGGTGGGGAGCTGGGTAAGGGGGGGCAGCCCTCTGGGCCTCCCCCAGGGAGAAAGCTAGCTAGGGCAGGGACTAGGGGGGGCTATCAGCTGCTATCCTTTTCACTTTTCCCTATTGCCTATTTCCTTAGCTTTTTATGACTCTTAACTTTGTTGTTTGTATCTTACGATTTATGTCGATTGCTTACTTAATATCCCATGATTATCACTGAGTGTTTTATGGTGGTGTTTTATGATTATGATCATGGTTTTATCACTTGTTGCTTGTATGGACACAAGAGGGCTTCTGCACCGGAGACAAATTCCTTGTGTGTCCAATCACTCTTGGCCAATAAAGAATTCTGTTCTATAAAAAATTCTATTCTGAGGCCTCCACACTGGGGGTCTCATGCCCATCATCCACAGCCAAGCCCTCTGAGGCTTCAGGCCAACCAAGGTATGGCTAATCGTAGCTTATTGCCCAAACCATGGTTAGCCAGGCCCACTCCGAAGAGAGACCTCCTTAGGGCTTAGCACCAGAGGGGAGATGCCCATTATCTGCAGCAACTCTGGGCATCCTCCACACTCTGCCCTTCAATGGTTTCCCCCCTTCTGTGTCCCCCCCAGAATAAATCCCGGTTCCCCCCTCGCCTGCCCCCCCGTCTCCATGGTCTGCCTGCCCTCCGACTGGCCACTCTGCCCCGACGCAATGGCTTCCTGTCGCCCAACGAAGAAACGGCGGAGGCCCTGACGGAGTTCCTGCGCTGCCCAGACTCCCCCTGGGCCTTGCCCCCCGACTGCAGCCCCCCCGAGCAGCAGCTGCGGGAGCTGGCCGTGCAGCACCCCCAGATCGTCCGGACCAGCTTCGTCTGCTCCTACTTCAGGTCGCTCCGGATCGTGAACAAAGGGGTGAGTGTGTATGGGGGGGGGCTCTGCTGGCCCCCAGACCTTTGGGATTAATATTCCCCCTCTGTAAAATGGGTCTAATGTGCCAATAGATTCAAACACTGGACTGATGGCTGGGAGGGTCTTCTTCCTTAGGTGTACTGGCTGCCAAATGAGACATGCTGGTTAGATTCAATCTCATCACCCCGGATTGTCAACCTCACATAGCTTGAATTGGAAAGCTGGTCTAGAGGGTTGTCTGTGTGAATATGGATTAATCCGAATGACCTCTGGGTGCCCCAAGGCACATTCTCTTGACTCCCTTTTCAGGTGACTGAAATCGATGTGGGTTTGTTAAAGTTCCCCAATTTGGAAGAGCTGATCTTAACGGCAAACCATATCAGCACCATCCCGGCTGCCAATCTCCCTCCGGGCCTCAAGGTAAATCAAAGGAACAATTTCCCCCTCTGTGGTGTTTCTATAAAGCAGGGCAGGCTGGCTGTGATTCCTAGTGGAGAGAGCACAAGGCCGAACTTTACCATTAGACAATTATATGGGCCCAATTACCTTCTCCTCTAAAGAACAAAAGGCATTTGAATTACTGGTAGTCCTCAGTTTATAACCGCCATTTGTTTAGTGACCATTTGAAGTTACAACAGCGCCAAAAAGATATTTATGACCGTTTTTCACACTTAATGTTTGTTGCAGCATCCCCTTGGTCATGTGATCAAAATTCGGATGCTCAGCAACTGGCATGTACTTACAACTGTTGTAGAGTCCCGGGGTCATGTGGGCAGCCGACCTTTGACCAAAAAAGTCAATGGCGAAAGCCGGATTCATTTAACGACCTCACGATTCACTTAAGAACTGCAGTGATTCTCTTAATTACAGCAAAAAAGGTCGCAAAATGGGATACAACTCACTCAACAATATGTGGCATAAGTCGAATATCTGCATTTGAATTTGGAGCATCAGATGGTTTTTGGGGGGGGGGAGATAGGCGAGAACCTATATCAGATCATAAGCAGATTAAACCCCCCCGATTCACTTTGCAGAGTGAGGCGGGCAGGCACATAAGTTTAGTAATAAACCAGAAATAAAGTCCTGCTCCTTATTTGCACCCTCTGTGTAAGCCTGGCCCTATTTACGTAGGGGGAGAAAACGGCACAAAACCCATGACGTAAAAGGATCTTATCCAAAGAGTGTAATAAAGGTGAGAGACACGTGAATAAGATAAATGTTAGAAAATCCCAACTTGGGTGGGTGGGTGAGTGGGGCAGCCCAAACTTTAACAAAACTGGGCCTGATTCATTCCTGGATGGCTGACGAGATCCTCACGAGGGAATCAGGTAAAAACCCTTTGACAGATCTTCCAAGGATAAATCAGTTTTCTCTCATGGGTGGAAAATGATAAGAAAGTGAACACGGAATCCAGAGGATCGAAACCCCCCCTGGGAGTCTCCCTCCTGCGGCCATCGCTCTGTCACCTCACCGTATTTGGGCATGTGGTGAAGTGGCTTTCCTGTCGGTTGAAGAAGAAAGATTAAATGGCTGTTATCGCTGGCTGGCATGTATCCCTCACCCGCCGGCCTTATCTTGCGGCTGAAGTACAACTCATGGCCAGCAAATCAAGCCCAGCAGTGTTTTTGTTCTCCTAACGGTGAGAGCAATTCACCAGTGGAACTGCTTGCCTCCAGAAGTTGTGGTGCTTCAATCACTGGAGACTTTTAAGAAGAGACTGGACAGGCACTTGTCTGAGATGGTATAGGGTCTCCTGCTTGAGCAGGGGGCTGGACTGGAAGACCCCCAACGTCCCTTCCAGCTCTAGTCTATCCTATCCCTCCCTCCCTCCCTCCATCAGGTGCTGGAGCTTTGTGGCAATGAGGTGCAGAGTTTAAAAGACCTGTGCACATCCCCCCCAGCTGGACTGCAGCATCTGGGTCTCAGCCACAACTGCCAGCTTGGTTCCTCGGAGGAACAATATTTGGCAGCTGTTTTCTGGTAAGCATAAAGGGAGCCCGTTGCACGCAGGGTAACCTGTCCAGCCAAAAGATCCCCACCCCCGTTTTTAAAAAGGGACTGTTTCCCTTCCTACACCGCAAATCTGCTCCTCCTAGTTGCCCTGGAGAAAGGAGAGCAGGGCAGGGGGCTTCACACAGGATGGAGGGAGCAAAGGAACCTCTCAGACGCCGCCGATGGGTTGAAATCCCCCTCCAGGCATCCAGAGGTGAAGAGAAGCCGTAGCTGTCCTGCCTTGCTCCAGAAATGGAGGGTGGAAAAAATGGCCTCTTAGTTTTCTCCAAGCGATGAACATTCGAAGGGTTTGAGATGAGAACAAAGGAGAGTTTTAAGCCTGGCCTAAACTCTCTTTCCCGGATGGGGAGCTTGGTGCTCTCTGAGCTTGGTGGTTTTCTTGCAGTCGTCTCGTTACCCATCCAGGTAACGTCATCAGCGCAGCAGGGGTGACGTTACTTAACTGGGTCATGAAAAGTCTGCAAAAAAGGTCAGAGAGCACAAAGGACCCTTCTTTTCAACCCCTGGCTACAAATATTCCCTCTCCTAGGGAGCTTTGTTGTGCCTGTGTCTGTTGCCCCCTCTTAGGCCCAACCTGGTCTCTCTGGACTTGAGCTACAACAACTTCACCGACCTGCTGAGCCTCCTTCCCACGCTCTCCAGCTTGAAGAAGCTCCGGATCCTCGTCCTGCAGGGAAACCCCTTTGCCCTCCTTCCGGGTTACCGAGGTTTTACCATCGACAGCCTGCCCCACATCTCTGTCTTCGATGACATCATTATCACCCCGGAGGAGAGGCACCGTTTCCTCAAGCTGTCCATCTTCCCAGGTGAGTCTTCCTCCAGTCCTGACCTGGAGGCAACTTCTGTTCCACTGATTAACTGTTCCAACTGTCAGAAAATTTCTCCCTAGTTCCAGGTTGCTTCTCTCCTTGATTGGTTTCCATCCGTTGCTTCCTGTCCTGCCTTTGGGTGCTTTGGAGAATAGCTTGACTCCCTCTTCTTTGGGGCAGCCCCTCAAATATTGAAACACTATCACGTCAACTCGCTCCCCAGTTTGCTAAACAGTTTCACATGATGTCTCCTGTCTGGAGCTTGGAGAAATTCAGATTTTTTTCCCCTCCCCTGCTTTTCCAGAGGCCGTACTCTCGGATGTCAAACTGATCGTCACCATTGGCAAAATGCGGGGTCTCCCCAACCCGCTCAACCCAGAGGAACTGGAGGGCAGTCCTGACTCCCCAATCGTCACTCACAGCTACTACGTGACGTATGAATTTGCCAAGGGTGAAGAAAAAGGGGAGAAGGCAGCCAGCAAGGTAAGGGTGGAGCTTTTTAGTCATTTGTTTCTAAATTATATCGGGGTGCGTGATTAAAACAAAACTTCGAGACCGCCTTCTGCCGCAGATCACCTCCCATCGACCAGTACGCTCCCACAGGGTGGGTCTCCTCGGGGTGCCGTCAGCCAGGCAGTGCCGGCTGGCGACCCCGAGGGGGAGGGCCTTCTCTGTGGGAGCTCCCACCCTCTGGAATGAACTGCCCCCAGAGATCAGGGTTATCCCTGATCTCCCTTCCTTCCGCCGCGCCCTCAAGACTTGGCTGTTCCAGCTTGCGGGACTGGCCTAGGGTAATTTTTAGAGGGGTTTTAATTATATTTTAAATTTGACAAATATTTAAATATTCCTTTTAATTAATTTTAAATTTGTACTGTTATTTATGTATTTTAATTGATTGTCAGCCGCCCTGAGTCCTACGGGAGAAGGGCGGGATATAAATCCAAATATAAATAAATAAATAAAATAAATAAATTTGTTTCTAAATTATATCGGGGTGCGTGATTAAAACAAAACAGGCCAAATTGGGGATCAAAAGCAGGATGGAGTGTTTGGGGACATCACAGGTGTGTTTGCGCTCCAGCACAGGAGAGCATTGACCGCAGGGGACGTGGCGAGCTCACCCTTAGTGGCGGTGGATGGAGAGACAACTGAGGCCCCGTCTTCTCAGCCTTCGCCCAAGCTGGACCTGCAGCCCGAGCCAGGAGGTGCGTAAGTTTCTTCGTACGATTAAACACAGCAGGTAGGAAAGAAAGGCTCTGCTCCTTGCCCTGCTTGGGGTGCGAGGCGCCCAGCTTTTGAGAATCCTCACCGTGGCTTAACCAGGCCACTGGAGATACGCGATATATTGACTGTCACAAAATGAGCAAGGTTTAGCCAGCAAGCCAGGCCACGAGAATGAAGCAAAGTTAGGGCCAACCGAGCTTAGCATGGCTGTGGGGAGGACTAGTTTAAAAATAATTTTAAAAGCATGCTGCAGGAACGCACCACAAGCTCACATTCCCCCCGTTTTCTTTCTGTGTTTTTACGCCTATAATGGATAGCCAGTTCCTGTCCTTTGCAGAGAAAAACATCCGATTTTCAGTCTATGTGTTGAAGGACTTCTGGGTAACCGAAAAATTTGGACCATGATGATGAGGGTGATGAATCCCTGGTTTGTGGCTTCAGCTCCCTTTTACCAAAATGTGTCTGCAACCAAGTGGGAGCGATGGTTGACGGAATGGAAAGTTGGTAATTTTTAATTTGTTAAATGGCAAATTTTTTTTCCCTTTCTCGCCCACGTAGCAAATACGCACTCGACTGCCAAGAAGGGCTGGGCAGAGGCCATTGACTGCGATTACCGAAAAGAGCATCTCGCCCAGGATCTGGTTGGTCTGAAGGCTTATCTTCTTGCTGGAACCACCGTCTCCGTTGTGGAGGAAAAGGTGCGGTCCTTTTTGCTAAGCTTTAGTTCATAAAAACTTCTCCTTGGACTGGTGTGAGCCTGTGTCCTCTTAAGTACATCAAGCAGTTCAGCAGAGCTCAACCCTTTGTGTTTCTTTAAACTTGGTTTTGCCAACTTGGACAAAGTTTTTGTCCTTGTCTGCAAGCCTTCCTTCCTTCCTTCCTTCCTTCCTTCCTTCCTTCCTTCCTTCCTTCCTTCCTTCCTTCCTTCCTTCCTTCCTTCCTTCCTTCCTTCCTTCCTTCCTTCCCTTCCCTTCCCTTCCCTTCCCTTCCCTTTTCCTGTCCTCTCCAACTTTCTCTTTCATCCAGAGCAATGAAACACACCTTTTCCAGGTTGTCTCCTGGCCTGTGGTCCTGACTCCTGAAGAAAAAACAAGCAAGAAAGGAAAGGGGAAAGGAGGAGAGAAAGGAAAAGCCGATTCGGGAAAGGCAGAGAAAGGGAAGGAGAAAGGGAAGGAGAAAGGGAAGGAGAAAGGGAAGGAGAAGGACACCGGAAAGGTAAGGCTTAATTCAAGGCCCCGTTGAGAATTGTGGGAAGCCAAACCTCCTGTTTTGTGTCACTTCCAAGATTGGGGGATAGAGGGAAAAACAAATCCATGCAATCACATCCATGGTGTGTTTACGGGGGTCAAAAAAGTCAAGATGGTGGCCGTAGCCCTGCAGTCAAGATTCCTTTCTGTGTCCAACCAGGGTGGGAACAAAAAGAAAAAGAAAGCCCCTTCCCCAGAGCTCCGAAGCGACCCCCCCATCGTGAGGACCCTGGGCTCCCTTCACATCAGCTTAGAGAAACTGCTAGCTGGGGCATCGTTGCTGGAGACCACCTGTGATTTCGGGGTGCAGATAACCGAGCGGAGCGTCTCCCCGCCGTTGCCCAAAGACAAGGTACCCGCTGAGAAGCAGAGTTCCCTTGTCAAAATCCGGCTGCACTGAATGTGTGGAAAGATATTTATTTAGCCAGTTTGTATAGTTGCTCACCTCAGCAAGTGGTGGTGAGCTATATTAAATAAAAACGAAAAGACCAATATTAAATAAAAATAAAAGCAACATCAGATAAAAAAGCAGCAAATAAAAAAATGATACGGAAGAAAAATAAAAACCAGTCTGAATTAAAAGTGACGAGGGATGTTTCCTGCCACTGGGTGAAATGCAGAAATCTTATCTTCTACTTTGCAGGAGAGCAAGAAAGGTGCAAAAAAAGACGCCAAAGCCAAATCTGGGACCGACAGCGCAACCTCTCGAAAAACACCCCCACCCCCAACCCCCTCCCCTACCAGGGGTAAGCTAGACCGCTCAGCTTCCGGAGTATTTGCAACTGCGAGCGTTATTTTAACCATCTGGATGACAACTCTCCATGTTTCTTGGATTGCACACCTGTGTTCTTTGTATTTAACACCTGTCCTTCCATCTTGAGCCCATAGTGGTGTGCAAGATCTCAATGGCAAGGTTTCGCTGCCCTCATATGGACTAGGAACTTTTAAAAAAAGAGAAACGATTGGCAAACCACAGTGCCCTGAGCTCCGTTGCTTGAGGGGCTCCTTACACCTTCAGGTTCTAGGATTGTACTGACCGTTTCTCAACCGTGGCCACTTGAAGATGGTTGGACTCCAACTCCCAGCATGCTGGCTGGCCGGGGAATTCTGGGAGTTAAAGTCCACTCCTCTTCAAGTGGCCATGGTTGAGAAACACCGGTGCTGGCTTTCTCCCAACAGTATCCTTGACTTTGACTGGATTTCAACTTCAGGCGAACCTCAGCCTACCCAAGCCTGTCGGAGGATGCCTTGAAGGTGTCCACGTGGTTTTGTAAATGTTGGAAAGTTCACACGAGAGAGACAATCGGGTTCAGAAAGGAAGCGATGAACCTGCGCAGCTGCTAACGGAGTAATTTATTTCTGATTTTTTTTTTTCCTTTTGCAGGAAAGGGGCGGAAGAAGGACTCTCCAGAGGGACCCGATTCACAACTCAGCCAGCCCGTGCCTTTGACTGTGGAGTTTCAGATGCAACACATCAAGTGGGAATCGGCTTCCCCCATCTTAAAAATGCAGGAAGCCTCAGAATAGGGTTGCAGAGAGCAAGACCAGTTCGGCTCTTAAGAGACGAGGAGGCTCTGGGTGCACATTCTGAGGCTGGTCCTTTCCTGAGTGATGTGGCTCTTCGCTGCTTTATGCAATGTATAGAATCCTCCTTTAGACCAGTTTCTGCTGGTTGGAGAATTCTGGGAGTTGAAATCTACCCATCTTACAGCTGGCAAGATTGGGAATCGCCACATAAGAGCAAAGAGGAATAACCTAGAAGTTAACAGACATAGCAACACTTTCCTGTTGCTCCAATCAACACCCAGATTTATGTGTGACTGCACAAGGACATTGCATAAATTAAATGATAAAACATATGCCGGAATCAGCAAACTAAAAGCAGATGCAATGCACCGGTTTTAGCTAAACACAAACTTAGCTAAAGTGGGTCTAAAACCTGGCATCAAGAGCAAACTCAATAAACTGAAAATAACTAAGAGAGGAGTCTTATCTGCTTAACAACACTCCAGATGTTGTCTGTTTCACACAGCTCCCCGTGTGAGTTCTGAATGTGGTGCTTCAAAGAGGGGGTTTGTCCTAGATGACCCCCTGTGGCTGCAGCTAAGCTTGGTCTGCCAAATTCCTCAACCATAACAACAGATGTTTTTTCCATCACACTTTCCATCTCGCTGTTAACAACAAAGGAGTCGAGTTGTGTTCCTCAGACTTTTATTTTAAAAATTGGCTCAGGGAGAATGATCCCAAGTACATCGGTAGAAAAACAACAACACAAAAATGACATTTTAGCCTCCAAACTGTTAAATTTTCCACAACTAATGTTTGAAATTTCAGGTAGAGCATTTGACCTTCACAACACCACCGCCTTTCGCTTTTTTTAAAAAAAACAAAAAACAGCAACACAAGACACAGCCCTTAGTGATTACAATGTGCGATTATCTCTATAGATTCTGGCGGAGGAGGGATCATCTCAAATCAGCCCTCCGGCGCCAGAAAAATCACCCCTTTGTAGGATTACTTCGCATTTGCATAGCTGTGAATTTAAACACACAGGCAACAGAACACCCACAGCTCAAAGCCGAGGGCCAACCAGGCTGGGGAAGCCAGAGAGACGGAGCGGCACCTATTCCTCCACTTGTGTGCCATCCCTTCCCACCAAGCAGGATCGTGTCCAGGGTAGCAATCCTCAATCTTCACGAAGGTAGGCTTCCTCTGTCTCTTCTCTGACGGCCTGCTGAGAGGTCGGTAGCAACGGGTCCTCTTCCTTCAGCTTCAGGAGCTCCTCCGTCTGCGCCTCAGCCAGCTTGGTTTCGGCCTTCTGGGACAGCTGCCGCGCTTCTTGGACTTGGGTCTTCACTAGCTGGATGTGGTTGTGGGTTGACACCAAGGCCTGGTCAGCCCCTGAAAAGAAGAGGACGATTCAATGTCTTTTGTTTTTGCAGAGGAAGCCTGCAAAGAGTTTGTGCGTTTTCAAGGCCACTCAGATTAAGGAAAACCCAACTCAGACTGGGATCCAGACATGGTAGACTTAACTAAAGCCAACACGAGTAGCAACTCCCACTGATTCTACCTCTGGCTTTAACCCACAATATATACTTTTCTTGTTGGCAAAGCTACAAAGGCCCTGGTTTATCCAGTAATTGGTCAAACATTTTGGAATGAATGCACACGCCCCTTTAAACCACGCACGAGTTCCTCCTCAAGACCACCAGGCCAACTGGAGTTCCTATTATGCATTTAGGAGTTACTGAAGGGTTAAAGGCATATTCTGAAGAAGGTCTGAAGGGAGTTAAGTAACCCTTTCAGAGACTGTTCAGTGAAATATAACATTTCTTGCTAAAACATTTTTGCAACAGGTGGAAAAATGAAGCTATTTGATTCTGTCAACAGTTTGAAAGGGGGGGTGGGTTAAGATTAAGAGGCTTGCCCATCTCTCACCTGACTGATATGCTGCTTCTGCGGCCATCTCTGAAAGTCGCAGGGCTGTCATCCACCCGGATTCTAATTTGAGATATTCCTGCTGTTTTGTCGTCATCTAAGCAAAGCCAGAATTAAAGCAATGAAATCTGGCACATTTTTTGCACAGCTTACAGATCGCTCTCACCTGAGGTTCCTTATTTATGGTCACCCATTAGAAACGACTTACCCTCTTGGGTCCGCACACAACACTGTCAATATGGTGGAGATCTCCTGAGTCCCTGAACGACAAAAAGGCACCAAGATCAGGTTGCTCACCTCCACTCGGGCCCCGATGATCACTTGCCAAACCGCATCCTCTTCTTTGGAATTCATTTTCCCCAGGAGATGCGTGTATTTCTGGTACAGGGACACCAGTGTGTAAACTGCCTGTAAATAAACCCAGCCTGTTAAGGTTGTGCTTGTCTGGAGTTTAACACTGACTTTTTACTTTATATTTGGCAATTGTAGGGCACTTCTTGGAACCAAGCTTTCCTAGAGTGGCTTAACATGGAGCTGTATGTGCACCACACCGCCAGACGTGGCATCCTGAAGGCAGGTGTCTTACCGTTGTATATTCCGTTAGAGCATCAATTAATGCGTAAGTGGTTTGAGAAAGGAGGATCCCGGTGCTGTCAGTTACTAAAGAGACCGCTCTTCGGATCAAGGCTTCATTGCTTAGAGAACCCGGATCGTGTTTCTGAAAGACAAACATCAGTTGCTGCTTCAAAAACAGAATGGCTGGCAGAGAAGGAAACAATGTGTGTTGTCATTAAAAAGAAAAAAAAGCTAGGAACTGTCATACAACTGGAAACTTGTGTCCCTACAAGTCAACTTGTAAACATAAACATAAGAATACAAGAAATTGAAAGGTTTTACTGAAAAAATAGAGAGAGCAACCGTTGGCAAAAGAAATGGCAATATGGGGGTCCCTATTGCTTTTTAGCCTCTTGGCTAAGATTAACATACATTTTAAGGGCATAATTTCAGGTAAACTATTGAAAACAACTTGGCTATTGCTGGAACTGACTTCTACTGGGCTCTGCAAAAGCTGTCAAGCATTGGAGAAGGGGAGAAACTAATGAAGGCTTAGCATATAGTGACAGATTCACCTAAAGACGACAGTAAAACTAAAACTAAGGAGAAGCTCCTATTCTGGCATTAGAACAAATCGGGAATTTCTGGGAAACTACCTGTGCAATAGGAATAGCAGCCAAGGTCATTCCAAATCCCAGAGTGGCCATTTTCTTCCACGGTGCCCTCAATCCAGGTACGCACTGTGTCCTCACATTGGAGAAGAGCGGAAAGTTCCGTCTAGAAAATGACACCCATCCAAGTAAAAGAGCAGCAAGCCAAAAAACAAAAAACAACAACAAAACACAAGCCACACAGCCTGAATCCAGCATGTCTAAACTAGCCTTGCGCAGCATCATGTAAGGAAACGAGGGTTTAATAAACTAATTTCAAGTGGCTCCATTAGGAAAGTGGGGCCCCCTCCCTCCTCAGTGGAATCCACAACGGAGTTTAAAAGCACAAAATAAAATTAAAAAAAGGGGAAAACCGGCTGTCTTTAGCAACAGAGGCGAAGCAGGCCCAGCCTTTCTCCTTGCAACAGAACCGGCCATTTATGCAACGAACAGCCGATGCCTCCGGTTTCTCCCTCCAGCCCCGCAGGGTGAGCAACAGGGGGCAGTTCCCCCCTCATGGACCCCCCCGAGATCCACGTGAAAAAAAACCCTTTTCAGAAATCGAAATCAGGTCTTTGGATGTGCCGAAGGCAACCCGCATTTCGTGGACACCAAGCCGGGAGGCCTCGCTGACTAACCGCACAGCAGCACAACAGGAGACCCACGCAAGGGACGGCTGCAGATGATGGGAACTGAGGTTCCAGGCGCCCCGGGACCCCCAACCCGCAGAGGCCGCTCGTCCGCCGGTGTAAGGGCCCGAGGAGGGAGAGCCCGGGGAGGCTGGAAGGTGCCGGGATCACCCAAGGAAGACGAGCCCCGGCCAGGAGCTCCGGGAAGCGGAGAGAAAAAACAGAAGCCGCCATTTCTAAATACCCGAAAAAGGCGCAGCAGCGCCACAGCCAACGGCTCCTCGGCGACGCCATCTTGGCTCTCCCTCTCAATGGCAACAAGGCGCGCAGGAAATGACGTATTCTTACAACGCCCAGTCACCCCAGAGAGACGATCTAGCCTTCCTGCTCATGGGCCTACAATTACGTCAGTTCCGGGTTTCTTTTCCTTCCCTGACTCCTCCTCTCTTTCTGCCCACGCACACTTTATTGTGATGTCATCGTTTCTTTTCTTTTCCACTCTAGGACGGAACGAGTTTCCTTCAACTTCCAATGGAAAGCAAAGGTCTGCACCATAGAGCCAGCGAACCCTAGATCGTCAGACCACAGTCGGTTATTCTTCTTTCCCCGAAACAGAAAAGCCTAGTTCCAATGAAGGGGGGGGTCCGCGCATGCGCCCTAATGATAATGTGATTCATTGAAGAGGGCGCATGCGCCCCTTTACCTGTCACTTGATAAGTTTTGTGCAATACTTTTAATGTTACTAATTTGGTCCTCTAATGCTAAAATAAAATTTTCCTAGATGTTTACGAACATCTGATGAACTTTCCAAAGGAGTTAAGCAGTAAACATCATCATAAAAGTGAAATTTCAGAATATTTTAAAATTACTTTTAATAATTTTTATTTCTTTTTGTTATTTCTTCATCCCAATATAAGGTATTCAGGGCATTTCACTCATTACATTTTTAATTGGCTTGCAAGGTCTAATTAGTGTATATGTTTGTAGCTGATTAAAAACTAACTTTAATCATTGTTAATACTGAGGTCAGAATTAAACGCTTCTGAATCCTATGATTTTACACATATTCACACACTTGAAGCAGGCTGCTTCGCACAAAACAGGCATTAATGCTAAGTCAGCAAGCTGGGTGGGAGCCTCTGCCAAATCTTTCAGTCTGACTCAAATTATTGGGTAATTAATTTCCCTTGAAGAGAAACTGAGGCATTCAGGAGCCTCAGACAAAATTCCCGTACTTTTATAAAATCATACTTTTATCACTTACATAAAGGGTTGGAGTTAAAGAAGATCTTAAATTTTATTAATAAGAAATGTAAAACAATAAAAAGCAGCACTGTTGTTACTTAACTTTTATATGTAGGACAGTGTATACGTTCAAATCTCCTGTTTTCCTTTTTTTCAAAAGTTTACACATTATAAGATGTAGCAGTGTGAATTGTCAAGCTTAAATTTTTGAGCATTTAACACAGACAATCCTAGACTTGCAAGTAATTTTATTGAGCTGTTTTTTGAAGTGGAAGCTGTCTGACGCAGGAAATACAAAAACCTCATTAAAAAAAATTCAAAAGTGCAGATTGGGAGTTAATTTCAGAGTTCAATCAAAGTGAGGAAAAAAGTTGACACTGAAGCGTTTAACAATATCAGGAAATAAAAGGCATGTTACAACTTGCTCAGGCGCATCCAGCTTTTAATATGGATATCCCCGCGAGATTATATATATATAAAAAAAATGGATTGGAGAGATGAAGCGCATTAATCTCTGAGATTCTGATACTTGATAAATAGATTTTTAAAAAGAAACCTTAGATTGAAACCAAGGGGTTCTTTAAAAAGCATCAGAATTATCACGAAACAAAATTTAAGTCTGGAAAAACGCTGGAACAGGAAGGGAGATTTTGTCCAGCTGAGGTCTCCAGGCTCCAGAACTGCAACAGGGTGTTGTCACTTTAGCACAAGGAAGTAAGTCGTCCATCCAGCCAACAACAGCGCTCCAAACAAGACGGTGTAACTGAACAGCACAAAAGCCAGGAGTTCCTTCAGCACTTTCAGAAAATGAAGAGTAAAGGAGTCTTGCATCATCCTGGATTTCAAAGTGGGTGGGGAGAACTGCATGGGAACAGCTGGCTCTGGAAGAGGAAGGGAAGGAGTGAAAAGAGAACTGCAGAATTAAAGATGCCACAAAATAGAAGCTGGTTCGTGATCTACGGTGGGAACTTAAAGCAGTGCATATCAGACAGAACTAGTGAGAAAGAAGCTTTATTGGGCATAGTGTTCTGGTTGTTGAGTAAATTGGCCTAGGATTAAAATAGGTGTCTGTTTGGGAGTGAGGTCCCTGTCTTTGGACTGGAAGATAATTTTGCAAGATCTGACCATCATTTTTAGGAAAGCTGATCTTAGCGCCCGGCCTGAGGATTCCAGGGTTGGGCAGCCACAGAACCTCAAGATATATAGCTAATGGTCCATTAGTACCAACTAAATCCAGTCATCAAAGCAGTCAATTCTTCCAGAGGGAGCCCACTTTAATATTTAATGTTATAATTGCATCTAATGGACAGGCTGCCGGGAAAATAATGTTTCTGGTTTGGAGATTATCTACAAATAGTTTGGCCTGCATCTTTCCATCCACCTAAAATAGGGGGAGGGCAGATTTAAAATTAATCTCCCCATCAAGATGATCGACTGCTCTGCAACACTGTAATAACTTGATAGTGCCTAAATTTTATAAAAAGTTCATTTTCAATCTCCAATTTTTAGAAATGTGTGGTTGGGGATCTAATAAATGTCTTAAAGATGCTGCCGTATCTTTACAACAATTTTGAGATATTTTGCTTTGAGCATGTTAATTATACTAAATTTTCCTTTCACTAAGAGAAACGTACTAACAGGACAGCTAATAATTAATCTCACTTTATTCCCAAAGGTGGAAAAAAAACAAGCCGAGATCCGCATACTACTAATTGAGATTTGTTTTTCTTCCCATCAACATACAAATTAGACAGCCAGCAAACCAAGGACCTGCAATGTATTTTCTTTAAAAAAAAAACTACTTTCAGAGAATTTCCTTAAAATCCCCAAACGTATGATTTTCAGCAGCAGTGCATGTTTGGATGTGAACATTATCTTGCATAAGATTGTACTTCTTATAATTAAACCTCGACACCTCTTCTATGAAATAAAAGTTAATTAATACTTCGATGCGGATCGATTGCTCACCTTTTTTGAACGATGAGGTTTGAGGATCCTTTTTGTGGCTGTTTCTGGTGCTCGTCTTGAGCGAGCGGCTTCTGGATGTGGCTGGACCGTCTCTTCATCTGAAGAGGCAGCACAGCGATGCGCTCTATATATACCCCGGACGAGTGAAACACTAATAGGTGTGGCCAGAGAGTAATTCTGCAATGGGATACACAGATCTTCTTTGTTCTCCGCTGCACAGTACAAAACATATCCCGAGGCTTTTTAAAAATGAAAATAGAAAGTAAGTAATAAGGAAAGTGGTTTTTAAAGAGATACTCCAGTACTTGCAGTGTAATAAATGTCTTACCCTTTAAGATACCACTGGAGTTTTCTACTTTTCCAAAATAGCACAGGGTAGGTTTTTATGTCTAGCTACCGGGTAGTATAAATCTAAGGATCCATTGTCGAGAGTGTGAGAGTAAACATTCTGAGTGTTGCAATGATAACTTTTACTATGAAATGGAGGCAGGTTTACATGCTAAGCTGCAGTCTTCACTAAAACAAATACGTCACGCTTATTAAAAGATGTGTGGTTGCTCAACACAAAGTGAAGGTATGACAACAGCTAAACATATATGGATAGAGCTAAAAACAGCACCTTTTCAAATTCAACATCTGCTTTAAATCTCTCAACTGATAACAAGCAGCCAACGTCATTTGGAGCTTGGATCTCTGTCCTTTGGTGGCATTTTGCAATGTCTCTTAGGGACAATTTTCTCTCTCGGCTACTTGACTATCCTGTGAAAAATTATTAAATGTTTGTTGGTTCCCTCTCGTTTAAAATGTTTTAAAAAAGCCAAATTCAGAGGTGCTGAAAATAACATGGGGGGAGAAATGGAAGGCAGGAAAATGGCATAAGGCATGCAGGCCGTTTGGCACTTTAGAAAAAAAAATACTGACTTCTGCTTATAACCTATTTTTTACGTTTACCTATTTTGCAGCAGAAACCTTGCATTACGTCTCTCTTTATCTCTAACCTGAAAAGCCTGTTACTGCTCTATTTATAGTTTTATTTTCCCCTTCTGTTTACCTGGCTCCTCCTAGCTATTACACCCTAAAAGGTCTCAATTATCTCCCCCCCCCATTTAGCTTAGACATCACGGCTTGACAAATGGACTCTAAATTTAATCAGGAGATCTTATTATCAAATTATTAGCCTTGTGATCATCCAGGCCTTCATCAAAAGTAGATCAAAATCAAACTACCCAGGAAGCTGTTAAGAGTATAATTATCTCCCCTGAGACTGTCAACATTGTCCAGAAACAAGACTTACTTTCCTGATTCTAAGGTTTTGCGTTCGTGGGCCTCTGGCACTCTGGAGAATGGGAAGTAACACAGCTATTGCAATAAGGATGTTTAATGGGAATCATATTTTTACAATGATAAGGAGAGAGTCTACTGCCATTATGGTAGAAACTGCACATGTTCAATAAAGCAGTCACACACACACACACACAGAGAGGCTGGAAAATGCCTGTGCTTGCATCTTTATAACATTTATCTTCTCAGTTTTCAAATGCAATGTTCCAGCACTTTTTAAACATGCTTCTTTGTTTGCAACTGAATGAGGTTTGATTAAACAATAACTCTCGTGTTCTTCTCCCACTATTCGCAATAATGTTCAGTGCAAAAGAGTTTGTTCAGTATTGAGGACCTGTAAGCATTTAAAGAGATATTAATGAGGAGAGGAGAGCAGGATTTTTCAAAATAGGCAGCAAAGCCATATTTCCAGGATTGCCAGAGAAAACGGTGAGAAACAAGGAAGCGAATTCCATCAAAATAGAAGGGTTGGGGTAGAGCTGTGTAACCTAAGTGGCAGATCTGTTACAGATTTACAGGCTTTCAAGCTTTAGGAGGGCAGCCCAAGAGGGAATATGGTTAGAGTATCATCCACCAACATGATTAACTGTCTGGGGAGAAAAATTAAGAATATCAGTGGACCGAAAGAAGAAAACCAAGCGAAGTACAAAATGGGAAGGAGGAGAAAATGTTAAGGAAAAACATCCCGAAAGACTGTGGAATACACACTAAAAAAAGTAGGGTTTAGAAACCGTAAGAAAAAGTCCAGGAATGACCCTTGTGAAGGACGCACGGAAGCGAAGCAAACGCAGATCGCCAGGCTGAGCTTCCCTCCTGGGTCCATATTTGTTAGAAAGAAGTTTGAGAAGCCATCTTCATCGCTGCACTTCAGTCCACCTCTTCTTCTCTCTTCCGAAGGCCTCGGTTTCCCGAGAGACTCCGCACCTACATTACGCAGCATGATTCCACGTCGGTCGAGCCCTGCTTGGTCTGTTCCTGCTGCTGCTTCTCCTAAAAGGGTGGGGGCTCCAGCTTCTCCATCAGAGACTTGACCCAGCTTGTTCCGTTGATCAGCTTGGTGGCGGCGATGACGTATTCGGTGCCCCCGTCCTCCATCTGAGAGAGGAACCGGAGGGCTGCGATTTCGGCGTAGGTCACGCCTCCCAGAAAGAAGACGAGAGTCACGCGGTTTTCTCCGTGCTGACCTGGAATTAAGAGAGAAAAAACTGAAAACTGCCTTCAAAATTCTCTTTTGTGCTTTGCCGCTCATTCCCATCCACTCAACGGTCCTCTTGCGATGCAGTTCAGAGCAATTCGGTCACAATGAAAACAGTATACTATGCTATTGTTTGAGTGTGAAGAAACGTGTGCATACAGGGAGTCCTCAACTTATGACCAGAAGTGGGATTAGAATGTCTGTTGCTAGGCAAGTGGTTGTTGAGCGAGTCATGTCTCATTTTACAACCTTTGCCACAGTTGTTAAGCAAATCACATGGCTTCGCCCACTGACTTTGCTGGTCCGAAGTGGCTGGGAAGGTCATCATAAAGACAGGACAAGCGACCGAATTTGATCACATGACCCTGGGAATCACAGTCATAAGCATGAGGATGTCTTAACTCACTTTTTCTTTCAGTGTTATTGTAACTTTGAACGGCCGCTAAACAAATGGTTGTAAGTCAAGGATTCCCTGTAATACCGTCCCGGAACATTCGCCACACAGGAGGTACGAAGTGCAATGCAGAATTAAACCTAATCAAGATTCTTTGGATATTGTAATATTTTGGAAGCAACTGGATACCTCCCAGAGTTTACCTATCATCCCATTTGTGTGGCCACATTGGAACCCCCAAGTCTACAAGAGGCAACTGGATTGGGGTAGGAGTCCCGGAAGCACTTAAAATACGCATCCCGGGTTGAACAGGAGGCCCAAAGAGACTTACGCTTCTTCTGGAGCCCGGTTGGCAGCTGCTGCCTCTCCTCAAAGTGCGGGCCAGGAAGTAATTTTAGGACTTCCTCGATGCTTCGCCAACCTGGCCGGGCAAGCAGCTGTGCCAGGCGCACGCTGAGAGGCGCGTAACCGCTGTAGACGTAAGAGATGTCGTTTGGGTTCTGCAGAGAGCAAAGAAGGGGCGGAGGTGAAGAGGAAGAGCAGGTTAACTTAGGACCCCTTTGCAAGCCGTCTCTTGAAAGCTGCAAGAGGCGGAGGTGAGCTTGCCTGTTCGTTGACATCGTCCATCCATAAACGCAAAGTTTTCCGGATGGTGGGGTAGTTGTTCCGACTGCCCAGCTGAGGCTTCAAAAGTCCAGCCTTTTCTAGGTTATTTAAGGTCAGGATGTGTTCGTAGCCGTACGTCTGTAACGAGCACAATGGCCTTTTAGTATCAGTATATTCATTTTATACATTATTTATGAAATGGTGAGTTCACCCACTGAGACTTGAAGCTATCTACCTGCCAGGTTGAAAGGAAAGGGGGGGGGGAAAAAGGATTTTCAAATCTACGAATTCATTTTAGCTTTCTTTTCAAGGATTTGAAAGTCCAGCTTTAACATTAAAAACCTCTCACCATTTCAAGTCTGCGTTTTACTCTGCAAACAATTTTCAGAGGAAATATAGAATTATAACGACTGTTCAAATAAGAAAAGAAAAAAAAGCCTGGCTAACTACTGCATAGTCAAGCAAAATAAATTGTAAGGCAGGATAAAACATCTTGATCTTTTGGTTGATTTTTTTTCTTTCCTTATCTGTGACTGTTTTAATTCTACAAAACTCTCCAAATGGTTTATGGTCTCCCCCAAGCTGTATCAACATTTGCCTTTACGAAGGCCTCACCTGGAGGATTTCTCTCTTGTAATGGTCCAGCACCTTCTGCTTTAAGCCACTGTTGCACACCGACTGCAAGCAAACGAGCCTCAGTATCTTAATCAAGGGATACTTTTGGGCAATACAATCTTCTACGTAACTGTTGACCTGCGCAGAAAAAAAATCCAATTAAATTTTTAGCCAAAATTATGCAAAACACATCAGCTATTTGAGAAAACATTGGCCTACCTTATCGGTATCTATGCCGGACATAAATTCTTGTTCCACTGTTAAATTATCGAAGAAGTCTTCAGAGGCTTACAATACAAAAACGAAACACGTTGTAAAGAAGGGATTTAATGGGATCCTGAGATATTTTAAGAGCAGGGATACTGCTGAGATCTGGCCAACGGTCAAAACCGAGGGAAGAGATTGAAACTGGTTCGGTCTTATCCTCATTCAAGAGGGGACACCTACCCTCCCTTATGCCCGTCCTCCCAAAAGATACCCTCGAATTACTCACTGGTGATGTCTTTGATGAGCTCAGCGATGGAGGTGTGGTTCGCCAAAGAGCTTCTCGCAGCCTGCATGTGTGGCAGCTGTGAGACGAACTGCTTGATCTCCCCCACCGTTTTGGCGTGGTGCCTTTCCTAAGGACGTAAATCAGAGTCCGGAGCTATTCATTTCATTTATATTCCCCCCTTTATCATTTTTACAAATAACTCAAGGCTGTGAACGTATCCAACACAGCTTCCTCCTCCTCCTATTTGTCCACAACAGACCTGTGAGGTGAGTTGGGCTCAAGAGACAGACAGGCTGGCTTTCATGCCTAAGGTGGAACTAGAACTCACCGTCTCCTGGTGATTGGCCCAAAATCACCCAGCTGGTTTTTAAAGGCTAAGGTGGAACTAGAATTCACCGTCTCCCACTTTCTAGCTTCATGCCTTAATCCCTTTATTAAACCGGCTCTCCTTCCTCCTTCCTCGCAGCCCCAATAATCTTATTTGGATTTCTACCCCTTTTGCACGGCAGCTTTCTAACCCCCCCCCCCCATCACCGTCTGAGAGGTCGTCATTTGTCAAATCTCAAGTGGTTTTTCCGAAGCAGGATTAGTGGAATTATCTCCATAGCAATGAAAAGCAGAGAGTATAACGCTAAGGACCGGATATCCACGAAATATAATGATCTATTAATTAATCTACCCAGCTTTTTCAGGGCAAAGTAAGAGGGGGAAAAAAAAAAACCTACGCAAATCCCACACGCTTGCTGACAAGTGCAAAAACGGAGGGAAGTGACAATGACACGAATGGCAAGCCCAGGCAGGGAGACCGTAATGAAGCTGGCCATTAACAGGCTTCTTCTGCTACTTGTAAGCTCCTGTTTCATTATCACCTATTAGATCTGACAATGCGACATCCCCCTTTTCCTTCCTTCCTTCCTCCCCGTGCAAAAATGCGAATATCCCTGTTGTATCAATTACAGAACTCAGATCTGAACACAACCCCTGGCTCAAGAGACAAACTTCTTCAATGCAGCCGTACAAAATTTGGAATCTAAGAGGCATGAAGTTCAGGTAGTCCTTGACTTACGACCACCACAATTTATGTTGTTAAGTGAGCTTTCCCCCCATTTTACGATCTAAGGTGGGTGTCGCTTTATTACCTCAAAAGCAGCCGAGATGACTTTGGCTTTCTTGCTCAAGACGCTGCCCACGGCGTTGAAGTTTTTGTCGCGGATCTCTGCGTACAGCTCCTCCGCGGAGTTGAGCTGCAGCTTCTTGGCCTCGGTGGGGAGCTCCTTGGCGGCCTCTCCCTGCTTCTTGGGGGCAAACTTTTCGGGGGGAAGTTTCACGTAGGCTGCCAAACATCGTTAAAAAAAAATATGAGGCAGATGTTTTAAAGGAGAGACACGTTGAAGATATACAGGTAGTCCTTGACTTATGACTGTAACTGAACCCGAGATTTCTGTTGTTAAGTGAGACATATATTGAGTTTTACCCCATTTTACAACCTTCCTTGCCTCAGTTGTTAAATGAATCACCGCAGTTGGTAAGTTAGTAAATGGGCTTCTCCCATTGACTTTACTTGTTAGAAGATCCCAAAAGGGGATCACATGACCCCAGGACACTGCGACCGTCATAAATATGAACCGGTTGCCAAGCAGCTGAATTTTGATCATGTGACCCTGGGGAGGCCGGAAAGGTGTTAACTGTGAAAAACAGTCCTAAGTCCCTTTTTTCAGTGCTGTTGTAACTTGGAACAGCCACTAAATGAACTGTTGTAACTCGAGGTCTATCTGCATATGACTTGGTTTGAGGAGCTCAAAGTGGTCTGGGGAACCTGCTTCCTCCACTTTTCCCCCTAACAACCGTGCGAGGCAGGCCAGGCTGAGAGGAATGGACAAAGATCTTCCCGGTCGTGATCTTACTTACTGTTCTGAATTCCGTATATTTCATCAATCAGGCCCTCGTAGGTCAGCTGGGTAGCCAGAGGAGATATCAAATCCACGTTGCGGTCCAGCAACAGAAGGGTATCGAAGACGGGCAGAATGGGGTTCTGGATCCCCGAAAATTCCCTCTTCATGCGGATCATCATGTTTGCCACATGCTGCAATCCAGAGAATCCAGCAGGTTACGGCCCAGGCCGCCAACAGAGATGAACCTCGCAAAGATCAGGAGACTTTAAAACTACGTTTCTCACGCTCTGCTCTGCTGGCTCAGCTCTCCATTCCTAGACATCCAAGCCAAGCAGAAGGCCCTCCCAACCCAGCAGGCCATCCTGGTTTCCACCATCTCTGCCTATTTCAGACATTGCCCAAATTAGGTGGCAGACATTCTACTGTTCCTGTGGTTTGATCCTCTGCAGTTAGGATCTTCTGTTGAGCTGCTTTTTGTCAGCAACAAACCTTCCACAGCCTCCGTTTAGCATCTAAATCAGAGGCATCCAACCTCGAGAACTTTTAAGACTTCTGGACTTCAACCCCCAGAATTTCCCAGCCAGCCAAAATTTGTGTACTGGGTTGCTCACAACATAGATGGAATCTAAGAGAAGAGGGATAAAGTATTCTTTTGTCCTTCCTGAGAACAACAGAGGAGACACACACATGTGGCTGGGGAATTCTGGGAGTTGAAGTCCACCAGTCTTAAAGTTACCATGCTAGTTTAAATGATCTAAACCAAGGGGTCCTCACTGCAAAAGAGGCTGGCAGAAAGTTAAACTGAGCTATAAATTAGGAAAGGCTTTCCAGCTTATTTTTACCCTGGCACAGTCCCCTTTTCCAAAGATGAGTGGGATGGTTCCGTAGAGAGCCTGGAGCGTCATGAGTCCTTTTGCCGCATGGTAGAGGCTAGTCTGGTCATTTTCTAAGTAGCACTCCTATGAGAAAGGAAAGTCGCTCTCAATTTTCCTGCAATCAGAAACGAGGCCTGGAGAGCCTCAAGGTTCCCGTCTCGGGAGTGGCCTCCTTAGTCCTGCGCAGGTTCTGACCTTAAAGGCGTTTTCTGACTCCATGGACAAGAGGTCTCCATCAAAGGGAATGAGGTCCAGGCTGTACTCCTCTCGGTGAACAAAAGAGTGCAACACGTCCAGTTCTTTGAGGCGCTGCTCGCATAACAAACTGCGACGCGGCACAAACAAGATGTGGAAATCGCGCTGCGGACCGCGGATTTTATCTTCGCTGGAAAAAGAGAAGTTTATCCAATCAAGCCTTACCCAGCTGAATTTTAATAGTCTTTGGACCAGTTCAAATGACCATCATTCATTCATTCATTCATTCATTCATTCATTCATTCAATGTATATAGAGTACTCTGTTAATTTATTAAATATTAAGTTATCACTAAATCAGGAGCGTCCAACCTTGGCAACCTTAAGACTTGTGGACATCTACTCCTAGAATTCATGAGTCATAAATTCATGAGTCATGGCTGGCTGGGGAATAGTTGAAGTCTACAAATCCTGACGTTGCCAAGATTGGACATCCCCGATTTAGATTAATAAGGCCCCACCAATTCAGAACTGACTCTGGACAGGGTACAGACCTAAAAGCTGATTAAAAAACGAATAAGCATAACTGGGGGAAAAACATATATTCTGACCTTCCTCTGCCAACATAAACAGTAGAGTTTGTCCTCGTGAGAAAGGCCACAGCCCACCCCAGAGACATTACCTGAGCACATTGTCGGCAATTATGTCCATGAGCTCTAATCTGGGCCTGACAAAGAAAATAATGTTCTTGACATCAGCCGGTGGAAGGATACCTCCTTTAAGGGTGAACATTTTCTCCACCTCATGTTCCTGAAAGGAAACAATCAAAACAAATATGAAAATATTCAATTTTGTTTGAATATTTGAGAAAGAGAAGGGGTTTGAGGATCAGCTTGCCGATAGAGGTGATAGCAAGTCTTTTTTGAAATAGAAGCTAGCCGCTCTTTGTATCTCTCCAGATGTGCCAAGTGTGGTTTTTTTTTATTTTTTCCACAGGAAGAGAACAAGGTATGCATACTTTTAAAATGAAAGAGGTAGTGTGTTATCATGATTTTAGCTCTTGTCCATATCTTACCTTCAGAAGAGAATATTGTGCAATCAATCCAAAAGGCCCAGTAAGATACTCATCCCACACAATGGCCTAAGGAAATAAAAACAGATTTAAGAGAAACACTTTGGAAGACATATAAATATATCAATGTATAATAAATACCAATAAGTAACAATCCAAAATATCGATGACTAATAAGAATATATGTATAATAAAAATCGAACACTGATGAGTAACAATAAAAATATGCATAAAAACATAAACACACAACAATATAGAATATAATACAGAATACTTCATTTGGCCAAGTGTGATTAGACACACAAGAAATTTGTCTCTAGTGCGGTAGCTCTCAGCAACAGAATAATAATATCATCAAATAACAAATGATAATTTATAATAGTGCGTAATATCAATGTAGATTAATATCAACGAATGACAAATGATACTTTAACGTATCAGTGTATAATAAATATCAGTGCACAGTATTAGTGCATAATACTGATGAACAAATGCTAATTAAAAACACCAATATGCAATAAATATATACCGCAGAATAATATCACTGCACAATAATATCAATGAGTAACGAAGGATGATAATAATACTTGAGAATATCAATGCAGAATAAATAACGATAATTAAAAATATCAATGCAGAATGGCATCAATGCATGAGAAATATCCACCAATGAGGAGGAGAATAATTAAAAATAGGATGAGGGTCCAGGCTGCGGGTTAGGGAGGGGGGACTCGGGGACCCATCCTTCCCGGCCGGCGGTGGAGTATGGGCCCCCGGCGGGGTCGCGCCGACCTTGGATCCGGCGCATTTGTCGAGGAAGGCGCGCAGCTCGCGGCGCCCGGCTTCCCTCAGCGCCGTCAGCGGGACGCGGCCCGAGCTGAGGTGCGCCGCCATGGCCGCTGCGCTGGCCACGCCCACGCCGGTCACGTGAGGCGGCCGAGGAGGAGGAGGCGGGCCCTCGGCACTGCCACGCCCCCTCCGAGTCAGGGCGCTCACCTGGGCGTCCAGGTGAGGCTCTCGGCGGAGGCGCCCCGGGATTTTTGGGGTCCCATCCCCATCTTTCACAACCGCTCCCTTAGATATTGAATTATCTATCCTATTGCAATTCTGTGGTCCCATATTAATATTTTATCTTGTATATTGTATTGACCAGGTACTTTTCAATTTTTCTTTTTCTTTCTTTCTTTCTTTCTTTCTTTCTTTCTTTCTTTCTTTCTTTCTTTCTTTCTTTCTTCTTTCTTTCTTTCTCTATTTTTCCGTCCTTCCTTTCTCTATGTCCCCTATTCCTATGTTTTCAGGAAGCAACTGGACTTTGTTTTTCTTTGAAGATGTTTTGCTTCTCATCCAAGAAGTTTCTTCAGCTCTGACTGGATGGTGGATCAGAACCGAAGAAGCTTCTTGGATGAGAAGCAAAACGTCTTCAAGGAAAAACAAAGAAAGTCCAGTTGCCTCTTGCAAAAGCATCTTTGGGACAACCATGACCTGGATGGCTGAGAATCTCCATAGACTATCTCTCTCTCTCTCTCTCTCTCTCTTATATCTATCTCTATCATCTCTCTCTATCTCTTTTCTATCATCTATCATATCTTTTTCTTTTTACCTATCCTTTTCATCTTTTTCTATCCATGTACTGATGTTTTATTTAAACTTATATTTGTGTTTGTACGAATAATGTGCTTTATTAGTATTGTGTATCAGTGATTGCATGACCTCTGTAGATGCCATATGCTAAATAAATAAATAAATTTAACAGCTTAACACTTTCAAAGTTGATGTGCTTTTAAATAACTCATAAGCCAGCATTGTTGCTTAGACAGCATCTGCTACCCAGGATACTAAAGCTCCACTCATATAACAGTTGTGAAAAGAAGGAGGCCAGGCCGATGAGTAGAGAATAATCCCTTTATTAAAGATACAGTACAATTGGTTTAGTTTAATACTGATTTCCCTGCTTTTTTAATGACTATCCCTATAATACATTCTTTACTCCAAAGTTCAAACAATTACATTGATTTTAAAAAAAACACCTCATAGGCCAAATACTGATTGTAATCTGGGAATAATTAACCACTAGCACAGATATATGCCTGTCTATATGTCTGTGTGTGCGTGTAAAAAGAAACACACATGAACCCAAACACAGCTGTAGAAGAGTTAAAGTCTTCCATCATGTGTAGAGAAAAGCGAGGAAGGCTGATGGTGTGTTTGCTTTACATTTCTTTTTGTGACATTCAAAATAAGAGCAAAACCAGCGTGGCGTCATCTTTTCTCTCTCTTAAGAGTACACGGCATTTACTCCATGATGGATTAACTCCATAGGAACGCCACGTGCGTTAAGTTAGCATGACACAGTTTCACTCAGAAGTGTGCTCGGTTTTATACTTCCTAAAATGTTCTGGTAAGGTATCAGCTTCTTAGAAACTTCACCTTATTTCAACATTGAGTTTTCTATTTTACATTCATCTGGAACAAAATTCCAACCCAGGGGAAAATAAATAAATTACATATTAATTGGTTTAAAAAAAAAAGGTCTTGATTTCAGGACAGACATTTGATAAAGAGGATACAAACTGTAGCTGGAATATTATTATTTTTTTTCCTTTTTTGGTACATGCAAACTAGCCCCCTTATCCCCCAAAATGCCACCCCAGTCAGAAATAAAAAAAAATATCTGACATTTGAGGCAATTTAAAGTCAGTAAATCAAGTTACGGTGCACAAAAGCCCTCTGAATTCAGAATAACAGAAGCACTAAAGACAATCAGATTGTTTTCCAAAATATAAATCTTTGTTTTTCTTAAATATATTTATATATGTACTTATGTACAACTCTACAGAAGCTGAAAAAACAGGGAGAGATTTTCCCAAATGCACAGCTGGAGAGGTTTTGTTAGGGTGAAAAAAAAAAGAGAGAGTTCCCCGCAGTGGCTGACCTGCTTTGTGGTATTTTTGCCGTGACAAAAATCTCACAGCGTTAAAGAAATCTTACGGAAAGGAAGGCACTACTTCAAGGTCTTGCACCAGTAGCACACGCACGAAGGCTTGCTCACGCGTGTCGGTTGAACGAGAGGTCACAAAGCCGAGGGGGGGGGGGAAGGAACCCAAACAACATTGGAAAAAGAAAAAAACAAAACAAAAAGAGTTCGCCTCTTAAACCCATTCCAGTGTCAGAACGTTACAAACGCTAAAAAAAACGTACAACCGCAGCTTGGAGGAGCTTAGTGCAAATAGGAAAATTAACAGCATAATTTCAAAGAGCTTTAAATTAGCTAAAATAGAACTAAGTGCTTGTTGGTTCGACACCCCACCTCCTCTTATTTCCTCCCCCACCCCTCCCCCCCAAAGTAAGCCAGGCGACCGGAGGGGACGTTTCTTGAGGCAAACCCAGGAAATGAAATTTCTAAATGAAAATTGGCAGCCCCTGTTAAATTCTTTATTTTAATTTCATCTAAAGAAGGGCAGAATAAACTATCTTTCTTGTGGAAGACGAGACACACTACATCTTTCTAAGCTGGGTGGCTGCTGCAAGGAATTCTGGGAGGAAAAAGTGCCGGTCCCCTCTCTCTTCTCTCCTGCGGACCCCACCCTTGAAGGTTGGTGGGGGGAGGACAAGGTCCAACTAGCGCCCGAAGCAACGTTCATCTTCTCCACCCCTGTCCTGCGTCAGAAGGTCTCGTCGTCGTTGCAGGTGGCGGTCCAGTGACCAAACATTTCACAAATGTCGCAGTACGGACGTTCCTCTTTCCGACTGCCGTGGTACGTGGAGTGGAGGGGTTCCTCGGGCGCCTGGGCCTGCGTAGGACAATCTTCGGTCTCGTGGAGGTCGAAACAATCGCAAATATCGCAGAAGAGGCGAGGTTTCCTCTTGACTTGGTTGTCTTCCTCGCTGTCGAGACAGAAATAGTTTAGAAAAGCCGATGGCCTCCCATCTGTCACCTTGGTAGACTTCATGGGCATTCCTTGAGGAACTTTGCTGAGAAACAGGAGTCAGCAAGAAGTTGGCTTTTGGTTTTTCAATTCTCCATGCCAATGTTCCTCAACCTTGGCCACTTTAAGAGGTCTGGGCTTCAGCTCCCAGAATTCCTCATGGTCTGGCCTCTCTAGAGAGGAGACTCTATGTTGCCTGGAGCTCAGCGGATTGGTTTATCCAATGCTTGAAGCCAATGTTTCTCAACCTTGACCCTTTAAAGAGATGTGGACTTCAACTCCCAGGTTGAGGAACACAGCTCTGTGTCAACCAGCTGGGTCCACCATCAGTCACTCCAAGGAAAACAGCCACCCAAATTCCCAATTTTTCTGACCACCAACCTGTCATAGTTTATAACTTCTTCCTCATCACCGTTGAGAGCTGCCTCGGACATCTTGTTCAATTTTGATATCAGTTCGGCATTTTTAACTTGAAGATCCACAATGACCGAATTTAGGAAATCAATCTGAAGGGTTCAGGATAAGAAGAACGAGAAGTGAGTCTCACCACAGGAGGTAAACTGGATGAACAACATGACCTCTAACCCCTGTGATGGGCTGCGCTCAGTTCAACTTCATCGCTTGAAACTAAAAGCTCCTTAATGCGTTACAGACAGTCCTTGATTTACAACTGGTTGCTTAGCGGCTGCTGGACGTTACGGCTGACCTCCCAAGGGATTTGAAATTCTGACAGTCACCCTTCCCTCAAGGTCTCCTGATTGTTTTTTGGGTACCTGGCAACGAGTTCACATTTGCAGTGTCCTGCATTCTTTACGGTATTTGTGTTTGCTTAATGACGGTGCAGAAAAAGCCGTAACATCAAGCATGGACACCTAACAACCTGAACCAGTTACAACCACAATCCCAGGCTCAATTCCAGTTGTAAGTCAACGACTACCTGTAGCCTTGTCTTGAAAACAAAAACGCTGTACAAAAAATAGGGAACCCATCTTATTATCTTGATTTGTACAATGTGACACCCCCCAACAGCTCAACCGCTCCATCTCCTTGGAAGGGGACAAAGAGAGCAGGGAGGAAACAGACGGAGGAAGACCCCTAAACCAGCAGACCCCTAAATCCCAGGGGATAATCCAGCCACCCGCTTATTGTCTCTCCTCTCCTCTTCCTCCGTTTTGTCACCCGAAAGAACAAGGGCGCCTTCTCTTGGAGGCTGAGAGGAGGAGAACAGCAGCTACCTGGCAGAAGGACCCCAAGGTTATTACAACTGAGAAGACTTATTTTTTTAAAAAAAAAAGCAGAGAAAGCTAAAACCAACCATTTGCTGATGCCAGAAGATTATCCCCAGCCGCAGAGCAATGCAAGGGGCGAAAAGGAAAGCGAAGGGGGAGGGAAGAAGGAAGGAAGGGGGGGAAAAACAAAGAAACCAAATATTAGCATGTTAAGGACATGATAAACACAACCTCAAGCAAAATCCATCTTTGGACAAGTTTTTTCCAATGATGGAATGATACGGCCAAGAGGACGGAAGCCTACCTGGCTCTCGAGGGCGTCTTCCTTTTGGAGGTCACCCCCAGATGAAACATCTTGGACAAGATGGGAGGAAAAAACATGTTAGAAAGACAGGAAGTAAAGGCTATCGGATTTTACATGACCTTCATCAGAGACTGGAGACAGGTGGGATTCTGGGCTCTTGGGGAGCGTTCGGTTGGCTTGGTCTCAGGAGGCCACATCTGGATGTGCTCCTCCACGTTTGGATAGCATCAGACTGCTGGGAGTAATGCACAGTTTTTCAACCATGGCTAGCTAAAGATATGTGGACTTCAACTCCCAGAATTCCCCCCAGGTCTGGCTTCTCTAAAGAACAGACTCTATGGCAGGGGTAGTCAACCTTGGCTCTTTTATGACTCGTGGACTTCAACTCCCAGAATTCCTGAGCCAGCTAAGCTGGCTCAGGAATTCTGGGAATTGAAGTCCACGAGTCATAAAAGAGCCAAGGTTGACTACCCCTGCTCTATGGGTTGTTTTAACCAACGCTTTAAGCCAATGGACACAGCACAGCGGTCTGGGGAATTCTGGGAGTTGAAGTCCACCCCTCTTAAAGTGGTCAAGGTTGAGAAACACTGATTGGTTGGACTTTTCCCAAATGCCCCCTCCTTGAATTCTGGGATTGGAAGTTGGCTCTGTCCCCTTGGGAAAAACCCCATGAAACTGGGCTACCTGAGGGGGATCCTGCAGGTAACCTACATTTCAGAGCTGGCTTTACCTGAAGAGATTTTTTGGCTCTCTTTGAGCTTCTGCTCCAGATTCTTCACTTTGATCTCAAGTTTAACCTTATCGGACTCCAGGGACTGAACGACCAAGTGCAAATTCCTTGCCGTGGCGTTCTCTCCACGGAGCACCGAGACCTGCAAAAGTCCAAACAGAAAAAGGAACATGCAATGTGAATTTAATAACATCATGGAAGGAAAGAAACGAAGGGTAAACAGATAGTCCTTGACTTACAACCATAATTGACCCCAACATTTCTATTGCTAAGTGAACCCTAAGGAGGGAGGGAAGGAGGAAGAGAGGAAGGGAGAGGGAGGGAGGGAGGAAGGAAGGAGGGAGGGAGGGAGGAAGAGAGGGAGGGAGAGGGAGGAAGGAAGGAAAGAGGGAGAGAGGGAGGAAGGAAGAGAGGAAGGAAGAGGGGAAGGGAGAGGGAGGAAGAAGAGAGAAAGGGAGAGAGGAAGGGAGAGGGAGGAAGGAAGGAAGGAAAGAGGAGAGAGAGGGAGAGAGGGAGGAAGGAAGGGAGAGGGAGGAACAGAAGAAGGAAGGGTAGTATTTTGTGGGCCACCCAGGTATGAGAGGCTGCGACAGTTCACATATTTCGATGTTTGTACCTCGTTTCTGAGTTTCTCCAGCTCTTCGTCTCTCTCTGTAATCAAGGCACTAGTAACACTGATGGATTTCTGCAATGAAGCTCTCTCTTCATCATTCTCTTTTATTAACTTGGCTTCTCTAAAAGAGAGGTCAGACAATTTCAGGAGAGTTGTTGCATTAATCTTGTTTAAAAATCACATCTTTAAAAAAAAAGGGATTAGCAGCAACGGGGCTTTCTGGAAACTTAAATGTCCTTTTATTTAGCTGAGCAAAGTTTTACAGTTGGCCTTAATGATGGGGGGAATTTTACGACAGGGAAACAAAGTGAGAAGGTTTACCTACGGAGATTCATGCCAGAATCTGCATATCACCGTATCCATTTCAGATTTTTTTTTATTTTTATTTTTTAAAGAAAGATGTTAATAGGGTTGGGAGATAAAGAATTGAAAAGGGAGGGAAAGAGGGTCGAGCCTACATTGGTCATTTCTCAGAACAGTACTGAACAAGCCACAAAAATGCATGCAAAGCTCAAACACACACAGTTGTCATGCAAAGCAGGGATTGTGCTGGAATTATCGGCTGGTCCTCCCTAAATTCTGTTAATTTAAAACTTCCATTTTGGGGGCCGTTTTGGAGCCTTAGCTGAGGTTTAAAATTAGATTTTTTTTTAAAAAAAAGTAACTCTAATAGAAGAAAATCTCTGATGCTCAGGACTGAACTGTGGAGTCCTGGGTGCTCTCTGAGCTGGGTTGCTTTCCTGCAGACTTCTCATGACCCAGCTGGGTAACATCATCAGTGCTGTATCATTTTGGGAAATATTAATTTTAGAAAGTTAGGTCAAGTTTTGTATTAACTGAAGGACAGCCAGGGCTCAGCCCACTAGGAGAATCTCTGGAGTAGGTCTCTTACAAGGAGTAAATTTCACTCCACCAAAAGGACTTGGTGTGTGCTTCATTTCTGTAGATTATTAGTTTGGTAACTAACTCTGGGCACAATCTCAAGAGTTAATTCCAAAAATCTCCTGCTGGAAAACACCACCCAGATTTTTCCCTTGCCACAAAAAGGAAATAAAAGAAATTGCAATAACGAAGCAAGTACCTTAAAGTAATACTGGGCAAGCTTTAAAAATGCAAGATAACAAGAACCACATGTTAGAAACATGGCAGAGAAATGCGAGATACAGTAAAGGAAGAACTAAATTTGCACCCAAGGTCGATTCTGCTTGTTGTTATTAAAATAGAGATCTATAAAAATTTAACACTGCCGAGTATTTTACAAAACCAAAACTCAAAAAATAAACATAAAAATTCAAAACCAGAAACAAACCAAAAAAAAAAAAAAAAAAAAAAAAAAAAAAAAAAAAAAAAAAAA